TATTGCCTAAACTTCAATTAGTAACACAACGTTGCAACAACAATAACGTCTAATCTTACACATTCATTACGTCTTGAGAAAACTCGTTGACATTGATGATCAATAAGGTGCTTATGTGTGGTGAATTACACGAACATTACAACAATCACATGTTGACAACAACCAAGTGTTGACAACAACCACATGTTGACATCTACAACAGCCAAATGTTGACAACAACCCAACAACAACACGCTGTCAATAACATTGTAATGACAGCAACATTATGACGTCAATAACAATAACAACAACCTCATTTGCTTCATTCTCCATTTAATTTCGACAACAAGCAGCAGAAACAGCATGCCGAATATAATGGCCGTCACGTATATTATAACTGTCGGATGAAAGAATTGTGAATGAGCCAATCATGAATCGACAATTTATGAATCGACCAATCATAATTGGATCAGTTATGAATGAACAAATCATGAACGGACTCGTTGACATTGGATTCAACCAATCACAAATCAGTTATGAATGGGGCCAATCAAAAATGAGCCAGTCATTCGTTGACCAATCATTATAAAGAAACAATAATTTAACCTAGAAGTTTTAAAGTTATAAACAAAATCCTTTAACTAAAAATTAAAAGTTTGTCATTAGTTATAGAATTCAAATTATTCTTTCTGTGCATTTAAAAAATAGACAAATGAACTAAAAAGAGGAGTTCACTAACAAGGCCATGAGACGTCACACTTGCCATCTTCACACCTGCAACCATATTCATCAACTAAAAACCACATGTAAACAGCGTTAACAACATCATCTTCATCATCATCGTTACTAATTATCATCGTCATCATAATCGTCATCATCCCAATCAACTACTTTTTATATTAATCAAATTACTTATTCAGATGCATTTCCTTTCACGTAAATTATTTGGTCAAACGAAACATACAAGCGAAACAAACATACATGCATACAAACAGCAACTATTAGTATATACAAACAACAATATGCATACAGTATGCACACTAACAACATCATATATATATATATATATATATACAAATAATCTTTCTATTGGCATATTCCTGGACTTATCCAAAGCCTTCGATGTCATCGATCACAAAATACTCCTATCCAAACTACATCATTACGGAGTAAGAGGCACAGCTCACAACTGGATGAGAAGCTATCTCTCATCACGGACACAATATGTTTTCATGGACAACATCATTTCAAAGCACGCTCCTATTCATCACGGGTTACCACAAAGATCCATACTAGGACCCCTTCTATTTTCTATTTACATAAATGACCTCTGCAACGTTTTGCCTTCAACCAAATGCGTACTGTTCGCAGACGACACCAATCTTCTTTTCACTTCCAACAACCTACCAGATTGCTCTAAACTTATCAATCTTGAACTCCAAAAATACTCTAACTGGGTATCCAATAACAAACTAATCATAAATTATTCGAAATGTGCATACATTATTTTTGGCCCAAAAATACTCACCAACCAAGCTCCTAACCTAAACCTATTAATTAACGGCGTTCCTATAAACCGCACCCATGTCAACCAAATTTCCTGGAATCACCATCACAGAAAATCTTTCATGGAATTCTCACCTACAAACTACCTCAGACAAAATCAACAAACTCACAGGCATCTTCTACAAAATCAAATATAAACTCTCTCTTTCTGCTCTTCGCACGCTTTATTACACATTCATCTACCCTTACCTAACCTACTGCATCACACTATGGGGAAATAGTCCAAAAAGCCACCTGAATAACCTAATACTCTCTCAAAAAAGATCAATACGTTTAATTTTTAACCTCAAACCCGATTTCCATACTAAACCCTTCTTCCTAGCAAAAAAATTTTACCACTTAACTTCATCTGTCTTTACTACTCTGCTTTATTCGTTTTTAAATTTATCAACAATCTTCTCCTACCTCACTTTATCAACTTTTACACATTAAGTAACTCCGTCCAATCTACAACCACTAGACACACCCCTCTTCTATATCTATAAAACTCGCCTCAAATTAATCCAGACAAGCCTAAAAATAACAGGTCCTAAAATTTGGACAGAACTTGTACCTTCCCATCTAAGAGCCATCATAAACCTACAACATTTCAAGTCAAAATTCCGTGCTTTTTTATTGACACTGGATCTCGACTCCACCACCTAATACTATATTAAGAATACGTTAGAACAAATGATGCGGATGAATGGTCTTTATGAATGGTTAAACATTTATGTGTTTATATATGTACTGAGCGAACATAGTTATATGTCTATATTTGAATGACACGAACATTTACTTATTTATCTTCAATTATCTTTCTGCTTCAGTTATTTTCCTTATTTTATTCCATTAACTATCCATGTATCTACCTGCGGTGGCCACCACAAGACAAACAGTCTTATTCGGTCTCCACATATTCAACTTCATAACTTTTATTCACTTATTTGATATGTTGTTGATTATGAATAAAACTTTGAAAATGAAAATGAAATGAAAATATATATATATATATATATATATATATATATATATATAAACAACACAAATACATACAAACATAAAAACAAACAAAACCACATAACAAAACTTAACATCCAACTCACTCAGAGGGTACCCTGTTGATTTCGAACTGCAAGAGAACGTTGTCTTTATCTGGTTCCATCAAACATAAAAAATACATGTAACAGAATGTAAGAACTTATTTAGTTTAAGGATCTTTTTAATATAAATTCACCCCACCCATTCCTGGACCCCTACTATTTTCCTATTCATAAATTAAGGTTTACAAGTCGTAAACTAACTGAACTAACGTTTACATGTCCTGCCGTCCATGTTAACGTCAGTGAACTTGTTGTTGCAGACGCACTTGTAGTAGCCGTCGAGTTTGATGCAGATGGCGTTCAGGTCACAATCGTATCGCAGCGAGTTTTTCTCTTTCGTTGAGTGCGAATTGTCACACTCATCGAAATCTATGTGTTTGTGTGCATGTGTTTGTGTGTTTTGTACGTGTGTGTGTTTTGTACGTGAGTGTGTGTGTGTGTGTGTGTTTGATCGTCAATAGACCAAACTAAAGCGACTGTACTACACAACTCCTTTTTACTTCTACAAATCAACGCATTTAATTAAAAAAAAAATTTAGCTACAGGTGTTTTAGTGACAAATTAGTTGTCCAAATTATATTACCCTCCATCCCTTCAAAATAATTTGAGAAAGTTATTGAGTCAGAGCGTAATAAGAATTATAGCTAATTGCTTCAAAGTGAAGTAGTTTTTTTAAATAAATAAAAACTAACCTTCAACGCGCACATTCAGATGGTACGGCTTGGTGGTGTAAATCTTGGAGAGGCCCACCTGTCCTTCTGAACTGTGGTGGTTAGTGGATGGATGGGTGGTTGGTTGGTGAGTGAGTAGGTGGTGGGTGGGTGAGTTAATGATGTATTCAAAATTATGACGTTCAAAAACTCCTCTTTAAATCTGCGGAATATGTAAAGCTCGTTCGACAAGTGAAATTAAAATGGCTATTAGAAACTCACATGTTGAGGTAGATGAACAGCATTTCATTGAGGAGGTTCATGTCAGTGATGGAGGTTTCCACACTCAACTTAAAGTGAACTGCAATCTCCGTCTGTATTCCGTCAGGGATGGCCTTGAAGTTCAAAATCTTGCTCGACAGAAATCGACTTGCGATGTTGACGTACGTTGAATTTTTGCTGGTGAGAACGCCGTCGGGTATCTTACCCGCCCAATCTCTCAAGATCATATCCACCTGGTTTGTTTGGTTAGGGAAATTACTTTAATTATACATGGAGCAAAATTTAAAAACGTAATCGAATTATAAACTGGCTTCTAAATTGTCAAGATTTAATGTTTTTATTTCCATTTATTAATTATAATATTACAAAATCATTTCATGTGCCAATCAAACTCAAATATTGATAAGATGACCTACTAATCCAACAAACTATCAAACATTTTAACCAATATAAGACAAACAAACAAACGTCAAAACAGTACAACGACAGCACATCCCTACAAACCCCACCCCGTAGAAACCAATCCTCAAGTTGTTCTCCCAGTAAGAATCAGACGTGATGTTGTAAGTGTACGTGAAACTGTTGAACTTCAGAGGCACCAACTCATACCTGCCCACTATCATGGAACTGTTCAATCTCACTTTGTATACGTTGGCCTCTGGCATGAGGAGGATGGTTATGTCTGATGATCGTAATAAACGCCCTTAACAAAAATAATACAATGATGGGACGATAGATGGAGGAATAGATCCAGTTCTGCAGTGACTTACTTGGTTCAAGCGCTTAGCGTTTTATAATCTGTAGTGACAAATAAACTGATGACGATGGTAAACGTTGATTATCATCTTGGATAATTATTATTGTCAGCATTTATATAGCGCCAATTTTAATTCAGAATTCACATTGGCGCACAATAATCATAATCATTAAGTTACTTAGCAAAAATTCTTGAACATATACGTCTTCAACTTCTTCTTAAGTTCTGCAAGAGTCAAATCAGGTTGTCTTACATCATTCGGCAAGCTATTCCAAAATGTCAATCCAGCAACTTCGTAACCTCTTCCAGCTCTTTTCAAATTAATCTTCGTAACGAGTAGAGTGTTCGTGCCTGATGGCCTTAAACTGCGATAAGAACGAATCTTTGAAGCTCTGTTACATTTGTTTGCTAAGTATTCAGGCGCAAGATTGTTCACACATTTGAAAACTAAAATTTCAAGTTTGAACGAAATTCTTTCTCTGACAGGAAGCCAGTGTCGAGACTTCAAAATCGAAGAAGCGTGATCAAATTTCATTCCACCCATGATTAGCTTTGCCGCCTGGTTCTGTACAAGTTGCAATTTTTACGGCGTTCATCTGATATTCTATACGGGAAATTATAACAGCGATGCAGTAATAATGTTATCTGTGCTTGCACCAACCAACAATAACATTTTCAGCCTATGAGGACTTAAGAAATATTTCAATAATGAATTTTTCAAAATTTGAGGTAACAAAAACATTTGAATAAGATGTCTTAGCACAAACACTGACACATTTCAGTTGGATTTTGTAGTTATGTAAGGTAAGGCAGGGATTGAATCGATGATTAACACTCGTCACTCAATGAAAAAAAAAATTTAATTTCAAGAATTTGGAATTACAAATTACGAACAAAGTAAACAAACCGATGCAATTAACATCAAATAGAACGTTTAGCCAAAAATGGTAGTACATAGATGGTAGTACAAAAGTGGTAGCTCATAGAAAACTAACGAAAGCAATCATTGATCTGTCTGTCATACATTCCTCTGTACTTCCATCCAACGTCACATGCACGTGTCCTGGCACACTGTTGTGAGTACTTGTGATACCTGGTGTGTGTGTGTGTGTGTGTGTCTAGGTCTGTGTGTAGGTACGTGTTTGTGTGTTAGTCCGTGTTTGTGTGTTCCTACGTGTTAGTGATAAGTGAACGCATACAAGTATTTAACATTATGGTGATCAAACATGCATGCATCAAGTGCTTAAGCTGATGACAAATAATATTACTGAATTTAACAAATAAAAAGCAAAATTGGTTAGTCTCCGACCTGTTGACCCTGCCACACTGCATGGTCGTCCGGAATGTTCTCAGAACTTCGTCAGGTTTGTACTGCTCGATGACAGGTCCTTCGTTGGCAGTGCAGATGTTTGTCGCAATAAGTTTTAGGCATGGTTTGAAAATTTGTATTTATGTCAAATAATTTTATTTACTTTTATTATTAAACAATTTCATAATATTATCTGTTAAAATTATGTAAAAATGCCGTGAAATCTTTTAAATCGCTGCTTTTTTCTGAAATGTTTTTAACGTTAAAAATTGATCTAAATTAGTGCTAATTTTTTTAAGAAAATTTTATTCACGTAAAGTTAACAGAGAAGATTTTTTAGACAAATCTTGATATGTGAGATTATAAACTCCTTTGCTTGTCTTGCGTTAGCGTTATCAAACACAATGTAATCGATCCCAATGTAATCAATCACACCAAATTCAAGCGCACAGGCAGCGTCCACACTAACTGTCGACACACTTAGTAACCACGGGCCACTCGACCATGTGGTCGTAGTCGCACGTGCAGTTCTTGTGGACGGTGTCGCAGATGGAGTGACTGACGGCGTAGTAGCATTCCGTGTCCTCCTTGCATCCATCGCCTATCACTCCTGCTCGAGTGGGTGGTGGTGGTGGTGGTGGAGGTGGTGTTGGTGGCTGTCATTAGAAGTAACATATATTGTGAAAAGATTCTTATGCTATTGATTATAATAAAAATAGGATTATTTTTATTAGTATTGTGATTAATGTTGTTGTTGTTGACAAAATATCAGAATTGAAGGCAACAATCATGTAACCAGCTGATATTTAACAAGCAGATGACATGCAACAAACTTCTGGTGCAGACTGTTCCGTTCTGTTCTTCATAATGTCCAAGTTGACAGAAACATCTTTTCATTTTGAGGATTGCATTTCTACTGCTGCTATTGTTAATATTACTACTACTAATGCTACTACTACTATCACCAATACTACCGCTGCTGTTGCTGGTACAGTCGCTGTCGTTACTACTACTACTGCCGCCATTTTCATCTCCGTCTTGGCGGTCATTACTTTCCATCTTACTATTACTCCTTGGATTGCCAACGGCGAAATGAAGCTCCGACACAAAATGCTTGCTGACCGACTCACAGATGCTGTTACGAACGGCATCGTAGCAGTCCCTGTCCTCGTTACAGTCGTCAGCTCCGACCACCCTCTTCCTGCAGAACGATGCACTGACGTTGGTGTAGCCAGACAAGCAGGCACATTTCTCATTGAGACATAAACTGCTCTCGATTGTAGTGTTACAGTCTTCATTTATCTGGCAGACATCTTTGAGGATTCTGGGCTGACAGTAGCTGTTGTTGAGGGATCCGATGTAACCCAGAACACAGTGACATCTCGAGCTGTTGTCGCAAACGCTGTAGTCAATAACAGAACTGCAGTCGATGTCTTCCGAACATGTCGAGTTGTCGTTCAATATTCGTCGCGTGCAGGTGTACGATTCGTTCGCGACTGAGTAGTGACCTGTGTCGCACACGCAGACGCCATCTTGCGAGCAGTTGCCGTTCAAGATGGCGTCACTGCAGTCAGGCTTCGTAGAGCAGTTTTGATCGCCCAACTTCCGACGGATGCAAGCGTCGTGATCTGGACCAACAGCGTAACCTGAAACACACGTGCAGGTGTCGCTGAGGCAGATGCTGTTGTTGACGGCAGTAGAGCATTCTAGATCTGACCCACAAAATCCGTCGTTGATTTTTAATTTAAGGCATCTTGTTAATGATTCATCCGGAACGTAGCCAAGAAGACAGGCACATGTGAAGTTTCCACCACAGAAACTGTTGCCAACACTTATATAGCAATGCTCGTCGTTGCTGCAGTTGTCCAATATTCGAACCGACCTGCAAACAGTGCCACCGTCAACTGAATTGTATCCTAACTGACACTGACATATGTTTGCAGCTGAACACATGCTGTTGTTGACAGCTCGGTGGCAGTCCCTATCGTGATTACAGCTGGACATGCCCACTCTTCGTCTCGCGCAGGAATCCAACAGTTCATTAGCTTGGTAGCCTTTTTTGCAGAGACATGTGTCATTAACGCACTGACTGTGATTGTGTATGTTGGTGCATTCATCTTCGGAGAGGCAGTAATCGTACAGACGCCGTTTTCTGCACTGATGGTCGCTGACAGGTGTATGGTTGAAGTCACAGACGCACTTGTTGTTCAGGCAGATGGCGTTCGTTATTGTGGCGTTGCAATGCAAAGTATCCGTGCAGTTGTCGTTGTGTGATAAAGTCCTGGGAGCACATATCGGCACATCACTTGAGTTAAAGTCAGGGATGTAACCGGTTTCGCATATGCACTCAAAAATATCGTCCCACAGAAGTTCAGTTTCGTTATTCATCACAGAGCAGTTTTTATTTTCGAACTTTACAAGGTCGTTAGATGTCGCCCTAAGAACGCAGTCCTCATATGTGACGTTTCCAATGGAGATGTTCTTGGAGATGTAGTCTGGCAGACAGGTGCATCGGTTTTCGAAGCAGGAGCTGTGGTTCAGGCGCTGGATGCATTCCACGTCGCTTAAGCAGCGTTCTTTCATATCGTAACGCGCCATGCATTCCATCTTTCTATCATCAATCTCAAAATCTTCCAAACACTCGCATCTGTGTTCATAGCATTTGCTGTATGCAAAATATTTTCGACAGATGTCATCCGAATTGCAGAACATCTCTATTTCGATTAATACACATTCGGTATCATTGTGGATACCGATGTACTCGCTGTTGCATTCGCATTTGCTATCTGAACAATGACTGTTGTTTCTTATTTCCGAACAGTCTGAATCCTCGGAGCACGAAAACTCGCGAGTTACCTCGTAACATTCATGACTGGAATTATTGCGGTAGTTTCCAACCGAACAATTAAGTTCACCAGTTGCTGAGGTGCTGTTAATTGCTGATATGACGCCATCGCGTGCTGAGTGTGATGGAAAGGTTTCGTTGAAAATAAATGTCAAATTATAAGTAGTTGACGTGTCATCAAATGTGTTGTTGTAATAGTTGACAGAGGTCGAAGTTTCGCCGTCAAAAATATTCGTTCCTAATTAAAAAAAGATTTTATTAACACTAATTTGACTCGATAATTTCATTTAAAATTCACTATTAATTCCATTTTTGCTTCAAACAAACTGTGCTTTCATTTTGCCTACATCAACGTAGCCTAATTTGTATAAAACACGTTCAATTGAAACAAATTGTCTTTTCTTATCTTAGAATAATTTTTTTATGCATGAGCTCATATATATTTAATGATTTATTTATTATTTTTTATTTTTTTATATGTAATCTGTTACATATATGCATGAATGAGATAACGAAAATTTAAAGAAAAAAGTTAAAAAATTGGGCAATCATCTAAGCACTACGGTTTAATAGAAATTAAGGATCCCAAATTTATAAAAATGTTACAAATGTCTTTTTAAATTAGTTAATCAATTGGTATAACCTGTGGTGATCATTTGGCAAGTTATAATTATGAAAACATTTGATGAAAATAAAATATTTAAATTATTCAATTGATTAAAAAGTGCACCCTTCATTATTTATCATTATTTTAAGATTAAAGCCATTTAAAAATGTTAATAAAAAATACAACACGATACAAACCGATATAAAATGCAATATGATACAATAAAATACCATATACAATACAATATACCATACAATTCACCCATGCATTCAACCTAACTTTTTTAAGATTTGGTTGCAAGCAGCAACAAAGCACTGAAGCATCAAAATCTTACTTTTACTCTTTTTAATTGATTACAAGATTACAATACTTGAATAAAAATTATTTATATAATTTTAAATTGTATTAATGCGATACATTACTATTGTAATTAGTAATTTCTCTAAATATTGAATTCAAAAAATTATCTTTAAAAAATAAAAGTTAAGCGCTTTTCATCCATATGATTATGAGCTTATGAGTTTACCTTTAAAAATTTAACCACTTTTTACATTCAAGTTTAGTTAATCTAGTAACGTATTTCTTTGAGATATTTATCTCTAAGATCTTTAAAATATTTTCGTTTTATTTAATTTTTAATTATTTGTCCGTTGACGTCTTTTATTTGAAATGTCAAAATTGCGATTGGGCAAATATTTTATAATTCATTCTAAGCATAATTTTAACTGGGTACTGGAAGTAGGAGATGACGGCGAATCGGAGTCAGTGAAGTTGGCCGAAATGAAACCTGATTGGATGGGGAACAACGACCATCAGCTCTGGTACTACAACCCCAGCAGTAAAATTCTTTTCAATAAGAAAAACAATTTGTGCCTTGAATTCTCTGGTATGCTCTGCCTTTATTTTTTTCATTCAGTAGTAATGTATTTGAATAATAATCTATTGGTTTGCAAACAATTTCATTATAATTTATTATTAATGATATTTTTTTAATAATTTTTTAATTCTCATTGTTTATTTCATAATGAACATTCTTTGATTAAATATCCATTAAATGAACTTCATTAACTATGCTGATTGTTGCTTATGATACCATCCTTGCTTTTGTTGTCATTAACGAAACCTGCAGGTATAGATAGATAGCAACGTCATCAGAGTTTGCATGTGTAACTATTTTTTAAATAATTTTGTGCAGGTGGCAAGCTTTGGGTAACAAAGTGCAAGGTAAATGATGAGAGTCAACATTGGACACTTGAGAATAATTGGATCGTGAATGTCCAACTGAACCGGGTCATCGAGGTGACCAATCATCACGAATGCACACTGGCCGATAAAAATGAACATCAACTCAATCAACTGTGGAAAATCGAAAATTTGTTAGAATTTTAATGAATTTTGTATTCTAAATAACTCTGCAAAATTTTTGTGTAAAGCTTTTTCATAAAAAATAGCAACTTGACAACTGTCAGCATAACCTTGTCACGTGACATTAATGTACTTATTGAGAAGAAACAACACACAGAATCACATCATGAAGTTTACATTCAGTATAATTTTAAAAAGTCATTCAGCAGCCAGATGCTCACAAAAATATTTTTTCACATTATATATATATATGTGTTATGTGTTGTCTGTGTGTGTGTATGTATGTGTGTATGTGTTTCGTCTGTGGATGTTAAATTGTTTTTTAACGAACATTGAATACATGTGGCTAACTATTTATAATTTGATTGTAATTGTAATGGTTGCACGCACAATTGCATGTATGTACAATGTGCATACCAGCAGTCTGTTTATTTAAAAGCCAGTCATTATAAGTGAGTGGATGGGTATTCAGATGAATGAAATGACCATTGAATAAAGGGATAAAATGAATGGATGAATGAATGAACGAACGAATGAATGAATGAAAGAATGAATGAATGAATGAATGAATGAATGAATGAATGAGTGAATGAACTTATAACAATCCCATCAGACTAGCTCTATCTTTCTATATAAAATTTTATTTTTATATATTTTTTCATAAAGGATGGATGCATGGATGAGTGAATGAATGAATGAATAAATGAATGAATGAATGAAAGAATGAATGAATGAATGAGTGAATGAACTTATAACAATCCCATCAGACTAGCTCTATCTTTCTATATAAAATTTTATTTCTATATATTTTTTCATAAAGGATGGATGCATGGATGAGTGAATGAATGAATGAATAAATGAATGAAGGAATGAATGAATGAATGAATGAATGAATGAACTTATAACAACCCCATCAGACCAGCCTTATATTTCTACATAAAACTAAAGAGCAAGCCATCACTAACGGTTGATGTGAGAGGCGAAGATGCTAAACCTGGAGCAAAGGTTTGTGTTATTGTTGCTGTAATGTTATTCATGCTGCTGATATGATGTTGTTGTTGCTGCTGTAGTGTTACTGATGTTGTTGTTGCTGTAATGTTATTGATGTTGTTGCTGCTGTGATGTTATTAATGTTGCTGATGAGATGTTGTTGTTGCTGCTGTAGTGTTACTGATGTTGTTGTTGCTGTAGTGTTACTGATGTTGTTGCTGCTGTGATGTTATTAATGTTGCTGATATGTTGCTTTTATGTTACTGATGTTGTTGTTGTTGCTGTAATGTTAGTAGTGTTACTGATGTCGTTGTTGCTGTAATGTTAATAATGTTACCAATGATTTTGTTGTTGCTTTAATGTTACTGATGTTGTTGCTGTTGTAATGTTAATGATGTTTTTATGGTACTGATGTTGTTGCTGTAATGTTACTGATGTTGTTGTTGTTGCTGTAATGTTACTAATGAAGTTGCTATTAATGTTACGTATGTTGCCAATGTTACTTTTTATGCTGTTGATGTAATTAATGTTACCAATAGCAATAATAATAATGAAATTATTATTATTATATTTTAAATAAAATATTATAATAATAAAATTATTATATTTTCATTTAAAATATTACAACTTAACAGTAGCTAACTTTACTAAAGTTAATTTTCAGTTTTTAACATTTTTTTTTTCTCGATCGATTCAATCAACTCAAACTAACTAGCATAACAGTATGGTGATAAGTAGGAGGAGGAAGACGACGACGATGATGATGACGGTGATGATGGTCGTGACATTGCAACAATAAACACTGATGACGATGATGATGGTGATGACAATGATAATATGGTAACGATGATGATATGGTGATGATAATGATGATATTTATGATGACGATGATGACGATGATGATAATAACGACGATTATGATGATGATATATGATGACGATTATGATAATGATGACGATATAGTGATGAAGACGACGATGATGGTGACGCCGATAATTTTAACTAGTATCAAAGTTAGCAATACTACCACTACTGCTACTACTACTACTACTACTAATAATAATAATAATGATAATAATAATTATTATTATTAATTATTATTACTATTATTGAAATAATAATTTTATTATACCAGGTGATAGTTTACGAAAACAAGGGCAAATTGTCGGACAATCAGTTGTGGTGGGAGGATGAGAACGGGATCATAAGGTCAAAGTTGAATGACTTCGCGTTTGACCTTACAGGTAGGTAACTTGACCTACTTATGAATCACGTCATCATCGGTGTTGTTGTTATCGTTGTTCGTAATATGATCATTGTTGTTGTTGCTGGTCTTATCAACTTGTTTTTGTAAAGGTGAGAGATTCCTTTGAGTTTGAACCTGGTAACTGCTTAACAGATACGGGCCACCCTACTGCTCTGCCCTCTTAGCCATCATCCTCATCATTCCCACCATCATAATTTAATTTACTACCTTCATCACCAATTCACCGTAATCATCGTCATCACGACTCAACAGACAAGATGGAGGTAATAATGAACCCATACCAGCATTCAAACCCGAGCCAACAGTGGGTCGTATCAAGGAGGCACCTGAGGAACGTTGAGCGACCAGGCTGGTTCATATACATGAAGCCAGGCTCGCTACTCACTGGGCCACCGAGATTGATGGCTTGTGAGACGCTTGTGGGCATTGATGATGACGTTGCTGAGTGGCAGTTGGAGTTCATCGAACATCAGTCCATCAGCCTCAAGTTGGTGGTAGTGGTTGCTGTTGCGGTGGTGGGTCCTGTGGTGGTTGCTGTTGTGACGATCATCATGATGGGTGTGGTAATGAGAATGAAGATGATTATTGCTATCATTACTTTCATTATTATTTTTATTATTATCATTGTTACCGTAATTAATATCCTTGCAATTGGAATAATCAACATCATCTCAGCATTAATTAGCAATTATTAATTATAATTGTTATTATTACCTGCATTATTAATAATCCTCACATCAATCTTCCTTCATTGTCGTCGTCGTCATCATCATCATTACGTGCGTCGTAGTAGTCGCTTCATCGTCGTCATCGTCGCCACTGTGTCACATGCATCTGTCACAGTGCACAGTTATTTGTCCTATGCATTACTCTTCTGATGTGCTGTCGTCTACTTGTGATGTGATGTGATGATGTTATTGTTGTTGCGTCGGGTTGTTTTTTCATTGTAGTGATGTCATCATGCGATGTTGCAGTAGTGATGATGATGATGATGTCGTGATGTCGTGATGTTGCGGCCTTGTGATGTGACCAGCACGATGAGTAACGTCTTTGCGATGTGATGATGTAATGATGTCATGTGACGGCAACCTGATTTATATCAGGTCTTGAACTTCTCCATCTTTTTAATTTCTTTATTACGTCTATCCATCTACTCTCCAACCATTCATTAATACGTTCATTCATCCATCCATCCAGTAGTTCATTCATCCATCCATCCAGTAGTTCATTCATCCATCTATCCAGTAGTTCATTCATCCATCTATCCAGTAGTTTATTCATCCATCCAATAGTTCATTCATCCATCTATCCAGTAGTTAATTCATCCATCCGTTCAGTTCATTCATCCATCCTTTCCCCATTCAACGTATTCGTTACATAGCAACATATCATGTCAGGTGTCAAGTATGACCCGTCGTACTTATCACCAAATTAAAACTCCGCCAGTCACTCGGGCTGTGGGAGGAACTTTTCCATCCGGAGCCAGTTGAATGGCGGAGTGCTGCAGGTGGATGGGGAAGATGTGGGGGCAGGAAGCAAGGTGGTTCTTAAGAAGTTTTCTGGTTGGTTGGGTGGTGGTTGGTTGGTGGTTGGTTGGTGGTTGGTTGGTTGGCTGGTTGGTTGGTTGGTTGGTTAATTGATTGGTGGTTGGTTGGTGAGTTGGCTGGTTGGGTGGAAATGTTTGTTCATTGGTTGAAAATGATTTAAAAACTGCCTACAACATCAAGCTTAACTAACATAGCATGCGTTTTAATTAATGTTCAGCCAATTTGTACATATCACTTCTCTTTATTACATTTATCTATCTACTCTCCAACCATTCATTCATGCGTCCATCCATTCATCCAGTTATCTATTTTTCATCCATTTTACCAATTTATATCTATCTGCTTATCCATTCATATGTCCATCCGTCTCGTCATTCATCCATCTATTCATCGATCCATTTATCTGTCAACCCATCCACTAATTTGAAAGGTGAAGACACGAACAGAACCTCCAGGCTGCATTTCTACGAGGATGACGTCACAGGAACCATCAGAAGCATCCTAAGGAACTTTGCCATTGAAGCCACTGGTTGGTTGGTTGGTTGGTTGGTTGGGTGGTTCTTTGATAAATTAATGGAGCGATTGATTTATTGATTGATCAATTGATTCATTCATTGTTTATTTATTCAGTCATTCAATCATTCATTCATTCATCCAGTTCTTCATTCATTCATCCATCCATCCATTCCTTCATTTATTCTTTCATTGACCTATTTATCAACCAATGAACCAACCAACCACTCAACCATCCGTGATGGAGCAGACTCCGGCCTAATCCTCTCCTCCTATGACCCCTACAAAAAACTCCAGCAGTGGCAGTGCAAGTCTCACAGGATTCAGAACCGGCACAACCTCACCCAGCTCATCCAGGTTCAAAGGCACCACCGCCGAAACAATAGTCACCCTGCTGCTTCTGACGATGGTGGTAATGAAAGCGGCGATGACGACAGCCTCTTCATAAATGTCGGTGAGGATGTGAACGGCCTGCATCAGTTGTGGGACTTTTGCTACGTGTCGGTTTCCTTTTCTCTATTGATATTTGTTATTTTTATTTTGTGCTTGCCTATCGCCGCGCCGCGTTAAATATTTTAGAGTTTCAATTATTCGCAACTATGTCTAGATACTTTTTATACTGTCCTGGTTATGACATTAAACTGACCCTCACTGCCTTGTGAGTGATGTTGGATCATCAAAGGCTAGGCCCACCGCTTATAACTGTGGTTGTGTAAGGAAGGGCGTTCTGCGTAAAAATTAGCCAAATAAATTACTTATGATGACAGAAGTGACAATGGTTTCATCATAGGTAGCCAAACGACAACCCCCGATTTCGGGGAAAATGTCGTCTAAACGTGTGTTGTTGTTGTTGTTTTATGTCTAGATACTTTTTACTTTACATTTTCAAAATATCCTTGTGACGTTCACCGTTATATAGTTATATAGGACAATAAAAGTTTAATAGTAATAATGATAATAAGCTGGAAATCGTTACGACGTTGCTTCAGATTGAAACTTCATAATAATGCGTTAGTCATTCATTGGCTTGATCCACTTTTCCAATTTAACTTACGAGACATTTTTCCATTTTTTGAATCATCCTTCCAAAATCACTTTAACTTCGATATTTTATTACCTTTTTGTTGCATCTTCCTTGTTGCATTTTCCTGGCATAGCAGCTTGTTTGAATGTAGGCTCAGTAGACGTAAGATGTACGTAACACCAAGGTCATCATTCCTTCCTTACTTCTACCACAACCACCTCCCTGCCACTTCCTTACTTCTGCCACAATCACCCCCTACCCCCAGACCAGCTCGTTGTTTCCAGATAGTTAGCATCTTCTGTCAGAAGGTCATTGACGTGAGAGGATGCAAGTCAGACTCCGGAGCTTCGGTCATCCTTTACGACAAGAACCACCCTGCCACTAACAATCAGCTCTGGTACGAAGATGAGAGGGGATTGGTCAGGTCCAAACTTAATGGATATGTTCTTGACTCGTCTGGTTTGTCGTTGGTGTTTTGTTTGTTTGTTTGTTCGTTCGTTTGTTTGTTTGTTGTGTAATAATTTGTTTGGTGTTATGTTAGTTTAACATTTGGTGGTTGTTGTTAGCGTTGTTGTGTCATTGTTTTGTAGTTGGTGCCGACTCTTTGTGATAATTTTTATAGTACTTGATGATGATACTGAAAAATGGTAGGTACCACATGTTGCAGGAAAACGAAAGTTTTAATATTGATGATGAAATGAAAAGAAACAACAGCACTGATTTGAATCTTTTTTATCCAATCAACTTATTTCATCTTTCAACCAATCACATGCTTCCATCACTGAGCGCAGGCCCAACGATGAAAGTCACTCCGTACGATCCCACCAATCCGGATCATCATTGGATCATCGTCGGCGATCGCATCCAGAACAAGTTCGACCACAAAAGCGTCATTGACATAAGCGGCGAGAATAAATGGAACGGCACATCCCTGATCAAGTACAAATTCCATGGTGGGGAAAACCAAAGATGGAAGTTCGAATATGTCGATTAGGTTTAGTAAGATGCGATGGTGAGACAAAGAGCATTGAAAGAGAGAGAAAGGGGGGGGGAGAGGAGAATAAATAAGGAAGGAAGGAAATTAAAAATGGTCTTCAGCCATTAAATTAATATGTTAATTATCTAATGAACTATCACTGCATTATAATATGTTAATTGAATTTATTTTCTATAGAGACGTTAATGATTTCGGTTTAGTTGCGTTGCTTTACTAATCAGTGACAGCATTCATATTTTTAACTCGATAAAATATGCTAATTCACACAAGTCAGAAGATTCATTTTATTCTATTTTTACATTATCGCTGCTTGTTTTTGCTTTTCTTTTGTAATTTCAAAATGTTTTTATTTGATTGAGTGATTGATTTATTGGTTAATTGATTGATTGATAAGCTGGTTGATTAATTGACTGACTGGTTAATTGGTTAATTGATTAATCAATCGTGTCATTTCTACTGATACAGTTTTTTTCGCGTAGAACATTCATATATAAAACGTATATATATATATATATATATATATATATATATATATATATATATATATATATATTCAATTCAATTCAATATGTATATTTCTGTATAACTATCTCACGTTAGCGTGTTTTATTCCTTGTTCATACCCTTGTTCAGTTTTTTATTGTAAAACTATATATTGATGCATAGATTATATTTTTGACATTATGTTTTATTTTTCTTAAAAATTTATCGTTCCATGAAAATTATTCTTTCCATGAAAATTATTTTTCCATCATCAACCTGTGCTCCATCCAATCCTTTCTGCCGGTTTGGTATTTTGGGTTGATCGAATCATCTACATCAATATATATTTATATAAATCAATCAATCTTCGTTTAGCGTCCAGAGACCCAATTCTCCCGAGGTATGACGTAATTTATTTAATATTTATATTTAATATATATATTTAATATATATATATCTACATATATTTAATTTGCATACATTTTTTATACATTTATTTAGTTATCCGTTTAATGATTTCATTTAGTTTTACATTTTTGCTCATGTTATTATCGCTCATTCACATATGTACAAATTTATTTTTGAAACAATTTCATCGAGTCTTTCGGATTTTTACAATTTTATTTCTGTTGGTTTAATTTATTTTAAACTTTTAGTTTATTTTCAAATTCAATCAATCGTGTTTTTTCGTATAATAAAATTTTGTAAAATTGAATTAGACTTCTTAATAAATTTAAAGCATCAAAGAGTGTTTCATAATGTGACAAATCATTAAGAAGCAACATCAACAGACCGCCGAACTAATAGATGGAATAAATAATGTGACAAAAGTTAGATGAGAAGTATCATAGAGTAGGGGAAGAGGCTGGTGCAATAATTTCAGAGTAAGAAAAGAAGTTGGAGCTTTCGTGTAGCGTAACATCTGATGAATCTCACGAGTGATGAGTTCAGAAACAGAGGCGTTGTACAGTGCTGTGTCTTTAATCGATTTACGCCACGTAAATGGTATTTGCTATTTATTAAAACATTAAATTACAATCCGTACTTAACTTATGTTTGTTAGTTTAATAACTATAGTCATGTTGTACAATAACACATGTTAACGGATGACAAATAGTAATAACTGGTGACATCAGTGCATCCAACGCAATTGTCTGACAATGAATCGTCAAATCCGCAACATTCATTTCATAAGTTTATTAATTTGTGCGCTCTCTTTGTTTGCTGTCACAGGTAATGTGGGCGTTTCTGACATCATCTATCGATGTATACTTACATATTACTCTATATATACGCTTATATATACTTGTCGTGTGACAGCAATAGCAGCATATTTAACCAAATTGTGCAATGCAAGACTCACGGGATAATGATGTAATGCTGGAAGGATCAAAGCTTAGATGAATCAGTAGATATATAGAATAAAATGAATAAATGTAATACGATATATATATATATATTTATTTATTATACATATATATATTTATTATATATATATATATATATATATATATATATATATATCCTATATAATAAATAGTGAGATACATAAACGAAGAAAATTTCAGTCATGCCTTAATAACAGAAAAGAAAGCTGCCGCAATTTTAAAGTGAGTAAGCAATTAATTAATTAATTAATTCGTAATTAAAATAAATATAATATTTTAAAAATTTATTACATTTAAATTATCGAAATAATTCCGACCTGTAACGCGCTTAGTGGTCTATGCATGCTAAAAATTGAAACAATGTGATACCCATGGAATTTCCCAAAAAAAAGATGTAGATGGTGAGGATATAGATTTATTCTAATTATATGGTGAGGATGAACATTTAATTCAACATTCAGCTATTGATTTTTTGTAGTGACGCTCAAAAATTAGGAAAATATCCCAAATTTTCCGGCATTTCCTGCCTTTTTTCACTGCTGAGGCTGTTACATTGCTTAATATGTTATATTTAAAGTATATTTGGTTGTATGTAAAAAGACTTGGTTATTTATATGCCTAGTCCATATATATGTATATGTTGGTAATAGACCATAATTTTTACAATATTCTATAAATTTTACCGAATGTTTGGCGTTAAACTACAAACATATTAACGCCAAACATTCGGTAGAATTTATAGAATATTGTAAAAAATTTATGTGTAAGTGCATATATATAGAATAAACCATGTTATATATATAAATATATATATATGTGTATTTATGTATACATATATCTATATATACGTCCAAGTGAAATTTTGTAGATGAAATGCGAACATTAGTCTATTATAAAAGTATGAAGTTGATCGAAGATACCCTGATAAAAAGTGAATAACCACGGAAATTTTACGCAGGTTTTTTTTTCAATAGTGACAAATACGAAATAAAATACATCTAAATGCTGTTTCTTGTTTTTAATTTTAATTCCTTGCTTTTTCCACAATTTCCATGGTTTTTTTCAGACATACATAGGCAGTCTAAATATTTTTCAGCGGTACGTTAGTGAACGTTTAATTTAGATTTTAGAGATTTGATTTTTTTTAAATTTTTATTTACCTTATTAATCTATTAATAATAATAAAAATAATAATTGTGGTAAAAATAATAATAAATTATATATCACAATCGTGATGTTTGTCTGGTACTTTGATGGTGAATTAGACCACTAAAAAGCTAAACTAACACTACCCAATGAGTCACTGAATGAAGTTATAGTTATATAAGCTAATGAATGACTACTAATCACTAATGATGTGTAAAATGGTGCTCATCATTAAAAAAAACTTATGATTCATTATCATTCATTGTTATAATTCAATTTTATAGCATTAATCTTCATTTATTTTAATTTTAATATGAAATGAGATGACAAAAATAATTTTATTATTTCAATTTAACAATAATTAATTTAATTTATTAATTTTTTAGCATTAATCTTCATTTAATTTTAATATGAAATGAGATGACAAAAATAATTTTATTATTTCAATTTAACAATTATAGTATACAAATGTCATTATGTTAGTAAGTCTTCGCTACAAAAGGCTACATACATGGCATCTTCATCTGTTTCACTATCACTATAGCTATAGCATATAACCACAAATCCTGCAAACCAATTTAGAATTTATCCCCCAAGTACTACAGTGTAATTAATTTTGATGTTAGGTAAAATAAAACTTTAAAAAAGTTTAATTTAAAAAAAAATAAATTTTGAATGAATACCTATAAAAACTCTTTTAATTCATAATGTTACAACAGATCAAACAATGTCAATGTTTGAGGTGATTCTCTACCAGTTGAGTGTTTTTAAATTAAAAAAACACAGATACAGATATAGAACCACCTATTAAAAAACATAAGTAACGTATTTTAGAAATAGAAAATACTTTTATTTTCATTTTGATGAATTCTAAAATTTTCCCCTTCCACTTTCATGGGTTTTGGAGAGCTTTAAAAAATGCAATGTGTGATGCATGTTTATATATGCACACCTACACACACACTCAAACAAGCATAAAGTATATATATATTATATATATATATATATAATATATATATATATATGTAATAAATTCCACCAATTTATTAGTGTTTATCAACTTATATTCAAATTTTTCAATTATCTTAGAAATTCGAATATAAATTGTTATACTCAGTGGAATTTATAACATATTGTCAAGAATTCGGTCTTCTACCAGCAGATATATATATATATATTTATATATATATATATATTAGATTAGGCCCTTACTTATGAAATTTTATTATAAATAATTTATTTTAAACTAAACATATAAATTAATAAATAATTTAATTAATTTTATTGAGAAATAAACATAAATATAAATAAACAGTTAAACATTCAGGCATATGGTAAAGTAATTTTGGTGTTACCTTTACAAATAGTGAAAAAGCAGAAAGATGAGTAGTTTTCGCTTAAAGCACCTTTTTCCATTTATTAAAAAAAGTAAAAGTAGGTGGCACCTCTTATTTTTATTTTTATTCTTTTTTAAATTTTATTTATTTAAATCGTATCATTTTATGTACTAACTTTTATTTATTTATTTCTAATTGTATTTTTAAAATATTTTTTCTTTATTCTATATTAATTTTTTTATCCACTGTTTACAAATCATCTCTATAGCACTTCTTCATCTTTATCATCTGTTCATCATTAGTTATTGTAAAGCTAAATATATATTTAAATGTTTTTTACCATCATGTTAGAAAAAAATTTTAACAAGGAAGGTCCTAGGGAATTACGCCACATATTTCTCAACAAATTTATAATTAAATAGACTTATTTAGTTGTGTGTGATTAATTTTTGCGCTTATTTTACGTAAACCATTGATAAATGTATAAACCCATTTGTAAGCACACGTGAATCGTTTAATCCGACGCACCTAACATGTGCTTAAGATGTGTAAATTTTGTTTGAATTTATGAGTCTGTCGGAAGATTTAGTAATAAAAGCCCAAGGTAATTACACCAATTGTACTTTGAATTTTTTGTCGGTCATCTGCCAGTGATCAACTGAATCATTCTTTGTTTTTATTGCAAAAATTTGGTAGTTTTGTAAACGGATTTTTTTCAAATGTGGATGGAGGAATTGGACGTTTTTATATAGAAATAAAATTGTAAAATATGTTTTGCATCCATTTGACATAGGTCTTGTATTCATTTGATATCAGTTTATCCTTATCAGGCCATAGCTATGAATGAGGTTTTGTTTGTATTAATAAATGTGGAATATATGAAAATTTGGATCAACGTTTTTCACGACTAACAGGCTTCAATCTCATCACTGTGACAACAATTTGTACCATTTACAAGTTACAACGTGATGACAGGTTCATGATCTTGGAATTCAATTTGCACTTCTTTCCAGTTTTCTTTATAACTGTTTTAATTCAAATAAAACCAAAGGTACCCTTCAATAAACTTAATTCAGTATATGTTTAACATTTGTAATTTGTAAAATATTTTCAATTCTCAAGAATCATGAAGGAATAGTTGATAGTGGAGTGCATATGTTATTAATTGGTTTGAATACAGATGAATATGAGAAAGTTGTTGATAAAAAGAGTCAAATAAATTATGACATACACTTCGTTGAAGGTGATAATTTGTATGGAGATTGTTCTTGTATGTTTATTGTAATTTCATAACCTTTGCATGTAGACTTTCCTGGATTAGCTCAAACTAGGTTGTTTAAATTATTGAACCGTTATTATTATTATTTTTATTATTATGGCGTTGATGGTGATTAAAATATTGATGGAAATAACAATTGCTTCTTTGAATTTCCATTTCAGATTATGATGAGTTTATAAATTTTGCTGAAGAACTTGGTGGTACAGGTTGTCAATTTTAATATTTGGTCTTGTTTAGTTATTAAAATATTTTTCAAATGTTTGTTTTCGTAGTACAAAAAAGTAATTTTCAAGTAATTGGCAATTGTTTTTCAATGTTGATTTTTCAGAAAAACTCAAAGAGATAAATCTTTCTGAATTAGGTAATTATTCAAGAGATTTTTGTCCATTTCCTTTCACGTTTTATAAATGTAAATTCACTGTCCTTTTGCAGATATTGATCTTACTGGTGAGCAGGATATTATAGCCAAGTTATTTTATACAATGTTGAAAACAGTATACAAAAATTGTAAGATTTCAGAGTATTTTAATTGATATTAACAGATTATTTTATTAAAATTTTTAAATTTCAAATGGCATAAAGTTTTAATCAACCAAAACCTGGATCCCTATAAATGCAAAATATGCTTGCGATACAGCCACAAGGTAGAAGATTTAAAATTTAGTGAAGACGATGTTATATCTGCGGTTGAAATGAACCATGTCACCATAGACAGGAACAAATGTGGCGAGTGTTACAACTACGATATCAAGGAAGAAGTTTTTGATTTTATAGATTCAGATGAGGCAGTTCGCATTGAAAATCAGTCCGTCAAAAAGTTTTACATTATTAGGTACATCGAAATCGCTAAATTGGAAAATGATTCTAACCCTGTATGTCAGAAATTTTTTTCACATCAACGTAACATTGCAACTTTGTTGGAATGTTCCGAAAAGCTGCTTTTGAAAATTTTTAAAATATTGTTTTATTTTCAGGCCTGTTACACATTTTTGGTTAGAATACCATATCTAGAGGTTTTAAAATTGTGTCGGGAGAAGATTATTGAACTGTTCAACCATGATAATAATATTTCAAGTTAGTCACAATGTTTTATTACCGTTTATTTTGTTTAATTGCTTTTTCAGTTTCACAAACCGGATTTCTTAAAATTCTGATGTTGTAATTTTGTTGTAAGTTCATTTAACATTTGTTAACCCTGATTTTTTTGACATCTTACAAACTCAAACGCCACTGTGTGAAGTTGTAAAATTCCAATGATATAAATAAAAATAACTAAAAACATACTGATTTATTCAACAAAAAATATTGATTTGGTATGAAATTTATCTTTGTGCAAACACTATTTCATAAAGATTTAACATTTGTAAGTCTGCAATAACAATCTCGGAAATAGTGATGAGGTTACAAATAATCACAAAAGAACTACATATTAGCCTATTTTCCAAACTGGTTAGAGTGTAAGACATACCTTTTAAAAACTTGGGAGGACCAATAGTTTCTTTTCTTTTGTTTTATTTGCTTTATTCACTTGTCAATGAACTTATAAATCAAACGTTTTAAAGTTAAATTGGTAGCGCCTCAACAATATTTGAATCATCACGAATTCTTAGATTCATTCAAGTCTTTTTCGGCACAAGTTTTATCATTTTCGTTATAATTCTGTGAATTTTATGTATTTTTCATTGCAACTTTGTAGCTTTAGAAGGATCAGATGATCTGGAATTAGATTGCAATCAAAAGGACACGAAAGCAAGCTCCTCAAACAGTGGATCAATTAATGACGTGACTCTGTATTTTATAAAGAAATCAGGTATTGTGAATTTTTCATTATAATCAATAATTTATATTTTTTTTATCATGTGAAATTAATTTGTTGTTTGGCTCATTTTCTATTATGTCGGAAATTGTTATGGTTAAAAGTTTTACTCTGGTTTGAAACATTTAGAAATTTAAAAGTGAATTTAATAATTTTCAGGAAAAAAAATAAATATAAAAGAAAACTGTATCAAGGAGCCTTTTGTAGATGATATCATCGCTTTCTTAACCAATAGTGACTACGTGAAAAAAAATATAGTTTCTACAAAATACAAAGATGATAAAATAGATGGGGTATCTCATGTCACAAATTTTCTCTGCAAAATGGAAGATCATTTAAATTCCACAGATAACGTAAATGAACAAATTCCTGTGACAATTATAAACACCTCTGGAAGCCAGTCAGCACTGTTGGATGAAATTTTTGATGTGGTGAAATGCGAAGAGTCTTTTTTAAAACTTTTCAACTTAATGAAAAAGTTTCTTAAAAATGAAAACTGGAATTATTCAGCACTTTCGAAGAATGGCCACACGTTGCTACACGACATCGTAATTTATAAAAAAGATTATTTTTTCTTTGCCGTGTTCTTTCTCGGTGGGTGGAACATCCTGAACAAAATGAAGTTAAAGTCTGTTGAACAGTCTTCTCCCTTCAACAACATGACCCCAGAAGAAATTTGCACATCGTTTAAGAATCGGAAACTTATGAAATCGTTTGATTCCTTTTCACTTTGGGATAAATCGTTAAATTTTTTGCACGTCCAAGCCAGGCTCGGAAATTTAAACGAAATTATTAGATTAAGAAACTACTCTGATAATCTGCACCTTGAATACGACGGTAAAAACTGCAGTTGTTTATTTTGGGCTGTTGTAAGCGGTTGTGAAGAACTTGTAAAATATTTCTTAGAAGTTGACCCTTTTTTGCAGTACATGAACAGTCCTCCCAACTTCATATTTAGTGTGGCAGGTTGGCTCGGTCACCATCATCTTTTTACCATTCTTTCCAATGCTTTGAACCCAGATATAAAAGCACCTGATATGTTCAAAAAAACCGTTCTAACTAGAATAGCTGAAAATTCCGATTTAGATTCTTTGAAGAAACTTTTGCATCTGAAATTAATAACTGTAAATGACATGGAACGAGTCGTACCGATTGCGGGAAGCAATGGCGATTTGCAGTTTTTAAAAAATCTGTTGAAGCAGTATGAGCTAAACCCTAATTTTAAAGACGAAAATGGAAGAACTGCTTTCATGAGAGCTGTTGCGAAAAATAATCTTGAAATTATCACTTATTTAGCAGAATTAAATATTAATCTTCGTGAGACGACTCATTTAAGAAAAAACGTGTTCCATATAGCATGTGAACAATCAAAGCTCCAAACTTTAGAATTCTTGTACGATCTTTGCACTAGAACGCTAGGTGAGGAAGAAACTTCAAAACTGTTGAACAGTAAAGACTTCTTCAACGGTTTAGATCTTTGCATTTTGATTCGGGGCAGAGATCGAGGCAAAGAAACTTGGCACTATGTCGAAGTCGAAAGATTATTGCATAAAATTTTTATGGAAAGTTCTAAAAAAAGTACTCCAATAAATATAGCCAAGTACGGAAACACGATTTTATCTGGATGGGGCGTCAACCCCAGTGAAGAATTTGCATCTGAAATCGATAGAAGATACAAGACTGCCCGAGAATTCTCCAAACACGACATTGACCAAACACCTTTGCACATCGCAACGTTCAAAGAAAGATACGACATATGCAAATTTTTACTGGAGAAAAAGGTTTCAGTCAATGCAAGAGACAAGCAGGGCTCAACTCCTTTACACATAGCCGCAATGACAGGTAATTTGCCTTTAATCAAATTACTACTCGACCACCAAGCGGAAACAAAAGTTTTGAACGTGTACAACAAAACACCTTCTGACACGGCATGCGACAACGAGAACAAGGAGGCCTACCAGCTCTTGACGTCAGTGGAAATAAAAAGTTGGATCATGGTTCGTTTTTGTTAGCTTCTTCCTACATTTTCTTTAACGATTTCTTATTTTCTCACTCATTTTCTCACATTAACATTTTCTCACTGTTACATCTTGTCTTTTGAAATCTCGAGCTACGTACATTATACATTTTTCACCGCAAAGAACTTTGTTTTTGATTTTGCATTTCGTAGAATTTGTTGAATTTTTTGCGGTTTTGTCTTTACAGCGTTCAAGCTTATGATTAGTTTATATATTAATATATAGAGTAGATATATTCGCGAATTACTCAAATTTTCATAACATTCCCATGCTGTTCGAAGATTACTCAACATCCGACACGTGCTCTTTTCGTGCGAAATAATATATGCATCTAATCATATGCAAATCTCACAAATCGATTCTTCTTGAATTTGAATCAGGTCATCGCGATACTGTCGTGACTCAATACAACACGACACTCATCATAATTACTCTACGAGTCATTTAGTAAAGCAACTTAACGTCAAATAAAATTTCATATCAAACTTTCGTACATAAAATGAATCTGATTAAATTTTTAAGATTGAGTTTAAAATTTGGTTAACTTAATTATATGTGAAATTTTCAGAACATAAAGCTATCGCTAGAGAATAAAATTAGCAACACATTGTCACCTGAAGCGATCGATCGAGTTGAATCTCGGGGAGAAGATTTAAAAGACCACCTGATAGATACCTGTTGGTCACCACACGTTACTTGCGTGTGTAAATATTTTTATTTCTCAATATATTTTTATTAATGCTAAAGCGCTATAAAATTTAAATTTATCTTTTGCTTGAGTTGTATATTTATTTGTCCTATTTAGAGTTCTCCCTTCAGATAGACATCATCAACAAAACAAACACATAGCGTAAGTGAATGTGGGAGTGAATTAACGCATCCTATCACGTTGCACGTGATAGGCTGGGAGTTCTTTACATTCGAATCCATACACTACAACATAGCTGGCAGCTTAAGCTAACCTTTACCCCATTATTTTGTCTGAAACAATCCCATAAAAAAATGTCATGAGGGACAGCAGTTCTTGTTTTTTTTTTAATTTTGGTCTCGTTGACATTAATTAAGTTCCAAATCTTCAAGCCGTCTACAAGATATCGTAATGAGGATATTTTGTTTAAACTTTATAGATTAATACTTTTTAATGCAGGTTGTCCAAACTATTATTTGTTTAATATTTATTAGTTTATTTTCAATTATTATTCAGTGAGGAGTTTGGCCCAGAGTATATCTCAACATTTATGTGACATCGGATCCGGGCCCATCCAACAATCATCAGAGTGAATTTTTTCTTTCGATTCATGTTCATTATATCGATAAAATATTACATTGCTGTGGTATCAGTGAATCAATCCTTTACATTGAATTGTTTAAATTTGTTAACGTAAAATTCGAAATAAGGTAAATTTTTGTACTTTTCTATGTTATATTAATGTTGACGTCATTCATATTCTGAATGTTGACACTTTTTTGTTTCCCTTTTTTAATTTTTACAACAATTGGTTTTTGGTAGCAAATTATCGCTATCGGTTAAAAGGCACAAATAAATTCTAATCAATTTTAAATCGTTTTTGAATTAAGAAGCTAATTGAACTACTTTATGTGCTCGTTTTTTTTATTTACTTTTTATAATTAATAAACAATCAAACTTTACTTTTTTTGATTCGCTTCAATTTATTATACAGATTTGTAAGGAAATGTAATCAATGTTAAATGTGATTTGATTAAGAAATGTAATGGCTGTTAATCTTTTGGTTCTTTGCATTTGTTACAATCATCCATGCCGTTGACGTAATTCTCAACTTGAATGGTGCTTTCGTATATGTTGAATTTGTCTTTCAACATTTGGTTCGCTTGCGTAATCACTTGCTGACTCTGCTGCAGGTTTTCTGGAAATTCAAATTAATTGAAATTTATTTATTTTAAGAAATGGCGGAAACGTCAATTCTTTGAGTAACGCTGAACCACAATCATAATTACCTGAAGCTGGTCAGATATAATATTAATAGTTTTATTTTTAAAAATTCGGTCACAATGATTTTACCTAGATGTTATCAAAACGTTTAAAAGGGTTTTCGTTTTGTTATTGGAAATACTTTTTACTTGTTTATAAAGAAACGCAAACAGCAAAACCAACCTTTAGCAACATGAGCTGATCCAGAAAATCGTTTTATTTATTTAAAAAGAAAAAGGCAAACTTTAGAACCTACCTAGGGCAACATGGGCCGACAGAGCCACCTTCGTAGTGGTCAGGGACCAAATTCTCAAGTTGTGGATCTCCTTGACGCCCGTGATGGCCCTCAGTTGTTCTTTCACTTGGTTGAATGGCACGTTTGTCGGGACAGCTTCGTCAAATTGTGGTTCACTTTTAAAATTGCTCTACTATCATTGTTTCCATTTCCCAGGTTATGTAAACGTTTTATAATAGTAAGACTTGTCTAAAGTCATCACACGTTCGTTCAACAAGCGTTCGTAACCCTAATCCTGACACTAACAGACTCACAATTATTACTAGAAATCATTATAAACATACAATTATAATTGTATGTTTATAATAATAAATAATTATTTATTATTTTATAAAAACATTTAATATACTATAATTTTATTTTTCCAAAATAGCTTACAACTGAGCGTTTGTTAAATAACATTTGCTAGCTTTTCCCAAGTAAAATATGAGGGTTATTTTGTCAGCGGGGAGTTAATTATAAGTTGGTTGAATCAACTAATTGTGCATTTCCAATACTCCTTTACAATTTATAATTGTCGTTTTATTATAGCTTGTTTTCTATAAAAAAAATTTCTAAGTTATCTATAAATAAGGGCTAGACTTTTGGTTTCATGTTCATTTGATGTTGAAACAAATTAATCGAAATAAAAAAAAATCGTTGGTGAATTCGTCCCCGACTAACCTTCCATGAGAACCTGCATGAGATCTTTTAATATTTTTCCCGTTGTGATGAGGACCAGGACAGAAAATATGAAAGTGCATATGGGATCGGCTATTTTCCATTCGGGCTGTCAACGTTGTTACAATATGTTAATTGCTACTGCCTAATGTTGCATTATGCTAATTGCTACTGCCTGATGTTGCATTATGTTAATTGCTACTGCCTGATGTTGCATTATGTTAATTGCTACGGCCTGATATTGCATATTTATTGTTGTCATTTAGAGAACTTAAAATAGAACACCCACTTTGAAGTAGATGATGACAGCAGCCAGGAAGACTCCAACACTTTGAACGAGGTCACCAATGACGTGGATGAAGGCGGCCCTCACGTTGATGTCACTCTGCTTCTTTTGCACCAGCTTCATCTTCTCAGACTGGCCGCTGGATCGACCACTTTCCACGTCGGCGTTCGATGTCGACGCGGCGTCAGGTTGTTCGGCGCTGTGCATTGCCGTTGATGAGGCGAGGGAGTGGTTGTTAGGAGAGCTTGGCGGATTGTGGGAATGGGAGTGTCCGTGTCCAAGAACAAATATCATGCTGCGGTGAAAGTAGATTCCATTTATTATTTGCAGAAGATTGTTTCATACCAAACTAACACAACACTTTTATACTCTTATCCACAAATACATTACAATTTTTTAAACTTAATTTGAAAAAATGTAGGGCACATAGCTGACCAGAGATTGAATAGTACCGCCAGTCCTCCGGTGATCATCATGACGAGAGAGTTAATGACGTAATTGTTGTTGACGATTCTCATGACGGCCATGTAACACAGGATGACCGTGACCAGCCAGATGATTAGGATGGACAACATGGCACCCATGATTTCTGAAAGTGTCCATTTATGTTGATGAATAAATTTGCATTCGTAGTTAAGAACATTGGGGAATGTTTTGAACATTAATTAACACGTTAATTAGTTGAGTGTTATGAAATTAATTAACATTTGCATTCGTAATTAAGAACATTGGGGAATGTTTGGAACATTAATTAACGCTAATTATTTGAGCGTTATGAAATTAATTAACATGATCTACAACGAACGAACAGATGCGGATGAGTTGATGTTTGTTTGTCTTAATGTAGGTCGGAGTAACGGTGGGTGAATTTTCACGACAGGTGTTTCGTGTTGGGCGTGTTTTTACGGGAGGTTGAATTGTTACAATGATGTTAACGGTAGAAAATAAGGAGTTCATTGTTTAGGAGGTGAACCACTTTACCATTTTTAACCATTAAAATTTCTAGTTTGGTGTTGTTCTTCAAACATTTATACCATTATATGAAATATGAACATTTTTTATTAACACTGCAATTAAACATCACTAACATAATCAACATCGTCATCAACTTTATCAACTTTGCCACCAGTACCATCATCATCATTGCTTTCGGGTTTTTTTTCAAATGCAAACGATCCGTATAAAAAAAATCGAAAATGAAATGTTGGATGATCATCACAAAGACATCTTTGAGATGGAGTAAGAGCCAAATAATGCAGATGACGATGATGAAATGATTGCAGGGGCAATCATAATAAACAATAATAATCATATGATTAAAAATAATAACATCTTAATGGAATCATGATTAAATTAAATTAGTATGATTAAAATAGACAAAATGACAAAAAAAGCTAGACTACTAAATATTTGAGTCAAACAGCTGAACTAACCAGCTCGATACCAGCCGAAGCTCATACGTTTTGTTGGCGCTCTAGCGGCTAACAAGAGAGCGCAAATTCCAATGACGAAGCTGGTCAAGTCGCCGAGCAGGTGAGCGGCGTCTGTGGCGATGGCTAAGCTGTTGGCGATGATGCCGCCTGTGGTAGAGCGTTATTATTATTGCAGCGAATCAGTTGTTGGAGAATGTACGTGTAAGAAATCAAAATGTTATCAATTACAGAAAACCGAACGAACAAACAAACCAGCAAACAAACAAACACGATAACTAGTAAACAAACAGACGAACAAACGAACAAACAAGCAAACACGATAAAAACCAACTACCAAACGAACGAACAAACAACCAAAAATGAAAACTGACCAGCAACTTCAGCAATGATGAAGACGAGACAGAGGATGGATGCTTTGACAAGTTGCCTCACGGCAAACCTTTGCGTCAGTGGTTCGTTCAGCTCCACCCATGTGTGGCAGTGTGGTTCTGATCGATTTTGTGTGTGTGTTGTTGAGTGTGTGTGTTTGTGTGTGTGCGTGTGTCGATGTGTTGATGTTGTGTATCTGTTAAATCACTTGTCACTTATGAAGTGTTGTTCAGATGCTTGCAGATGAAAATTTGTTTCTTGTTAGAAACATTTGCATTCATCTTTTCATTCATTCGTTCTTTCGTTTATTTTTTATTCATTCATTCATTCATTCATTCATTCATTCATTCATTCATTCATCCATTCGTTCGTTCAGTTGTTCATAAGCGAACGCAGCTACGTGTTTATTGTCATTTTATTCATTTATTAATTTCTTTCTTCCCTTCTTCCATGCATCAATCGTTCGTAAGCCACTTAGGACTACAGAATGATTGTTATCGATTGTTAACTTTCGCGAGATGTTTCTGTAGTACGCGCGTGGCATGCAGGTGCTGGTGATGATTGTGATTGTGGCCTGAGTGGTGGCGATGATGATGATGAGGAGGAGGATGATGAGGATGTTTGTTTGCGATGATGATGATGATGATAGCGTTCGTTTGCGATTGTGGTAACAAAGATGATGATGATGACGAGAATGACAAAAACGAAAATGATGATGATGATGATGACGATGATAATGATGATGACGATAATGATGAAAATTATGGTGACGATGCAAAAGATGTAAACTATGCTAAAAACTGGTGATAAAAATATGGCAAACTGAATGGCATTACATTGAATAATGTTAAATAATTTTTTCATCGTAATAGCTAAACAAGTTGAACAATGCGGTATCAATTTTAACCTTGCCATAAAGTGGTTGTGTGTTGTTGTTGTGTTGTTATATTTGTTGTACTGTTGATGCTGTTGTGTGTTTTTTGTTATTGTTATTGTGTGTTGTTGGTGTGTTGTTATATTTGTTGTACTGTTGATGTTGTTGTGTGTTTTCTGTTAATGTTATTGTGTGTTGTTGGTGTGTTGTTATATTTGTTGTACTGTTGATGTTGTTGTGTGTTTTCTGTTAATGTTATTGTGTGTTGTTGTTGTTGTGTTGTTATGTTTGCTGTATTGTTGTGATGGTGTGTTGTTGTGATGATGTGTTGTTGTGATGGTGTGTTGTTGTGTTTGTTGTATTGTTGTGTGTTAGTAATTACATAAGTGGGCGTTAGTAGACTTTACATTTTCGTCCCGTTGACAACGTTCAAAGTTATTTAATAAACAATAATAATAAATAATAATATTAATAATAAATAATAATAATAAATTATATTATTAATAATAAATAATAATAAATAATAATATTAATAATAAATAATAATATTTTAACACTTGTTTCACACAAGCGGGTCATTTTACACCATCATATTTATCATCAAATGAATGAGTGAGTGAATGAGAGTGAATTGTTGAATGAATGAATGGATGGGTGGATAGATTCATTCATTCATTCGTTCGTTCGTTCGTTCATTCATTCACTCACTCATTCATTCATTCAATCATTCATTACTTTATTCATTCATATATCCAATTAAGTAAAATTTATTTAACATTTGTCATTTAAATCCTACTCATCTATCATTTTTTCATTGGTTTGATTAAAAATAATCGCCGACAACCATTCAACGTTTCAATCGATTAGAATTTTTTTAACCATCAAACAATTTTTTTCGTTGTTGTTTTAATATGTCTTCAGCTAGCAACTATTGCTCTTTCGATTACTCATTCATTCATTTATTCGTTCGTTCATTCGTTCGTTCGTTCATTCATTCATTCATTCATTCATTCATTCATTCATTCACTCACTCACTCACCCACCCACTCACTCACTCACTCACTCACTCACTCACTCATTCATTCATCCATTTTTAAATCCATTCACTTAACTATATTATTAATTTTATTAAATTCAAATTTACTTCAGCACTCACCAACATTTGCAGGTCTGATTGCAACATCGTTACTGAGTTCTATGTTGTTGTTGTTGTTGTTGTTGTTGTTGCTGCTGTTGTCGTTGTTGTTGATGTTGTTGTTGGTGTTGTTGTTGGTGATACTTTGATACTGATAATGATTCTCTTTGTTGTTGTTGTTGTTGTTTTGTTTGTCCATGATTTTTTATTCGTTAGACTGTTTATCTATTGGCAAAGAAAAAAAATATTATTTTTTTTGTAGAAAAATTAAATGAATACAAATTAGAATTGACAAAATATTTAGCTAAATAAAACTAATTAGCATAATTAATTACAATTTATTAAGTCATTAATATGAATTTATTATTAATTGTGATCAATTAATTATAATTAATAAAAAACTCATTACGTCAACTTAAACTTTAATATTAATAAATGGAGAGAAAAGAGGGAACGATTTTGTTATATAGAAGTCACGTGATGATGATGAGGACGACGATGATAATGATTATGATTATGACGATGGTGATAATAATAATGATTGTAATGATAATAATGATTGTGATGATGATTATGGTTGTGATGATGATCACGATGATCATGATTTTGATGATGATGATCACAAGAATGAGGATGGTGATGATGATGATGATGATGATGATGATGATGACGATAACGATGATGACGACGACGATGATGATGATAATAATAAAAATAATAATTTTAATAATACTTATAACAGTACTATTAACAATAATGATAATAATAATAATAATAATAATAAAGATATCTTCACAACTAAGATACAGAAACTTTTTATAAATCTATCAATGAAATGAGTGGAAATAGTTAAAAAGTATTAGATCTATTGACGCAAGACCAAGATGGTAATCCTCTCTTACCAAAATATAGATATATTTATATATATATATATATATATATATATATATATATATATATATATATATTTTGTATTGTTTGATTCATTCATGCACACTAGGGTGGTCACAAGAAATTTTTTTTTGAATTGTGCCACTTGACTAAAAAATGACATGTGTAAAGTTTTAGCTCAATTGGATAATGCTAACCCGTGCCTCATCGAGGTTGAAATTTAGAAAAATTGGAAAATTTTGAAAAAAAAACGCAGTTTTTGGTTTGTAAAATAAAAACGGTTCACTCTAGAAACATGGTTTAAGTTTTATTTTGTTCATTGATTTGTTTTCTTCAAATGTTACTATGATCACTATTTAGCTACAAATTATAGTTTCTGACATATTTGCAATGTTACAGATACACATTGAAAAAACGTTGAATTTCACTATAACACAAAAACACACAAAAACTTAATTTGTTCATGAAGAAATGTTTTTAAAATAACACCGTTGTATCTAAATCATTATTATTAACAAATAAACTTATTTTTTAATCATATTATATTGTTTATAGTTGTTATACATCAAATAAATTCCTACTTTAAATTGAGCTAAAACTTTACAAATGTCATTTTTTAGTCAAGTGGCACAATTTAGGGGGTTCCCCCGATAGGATTTCAAAATTTTTTTTTTACATATAGCGTTGTAACCACCCTAATGCACACACAAAAAACATCTGTAACCAACTTGATATTTGTCGAACGTATCAGAGATTAGCCAGCAAAACGGTAATTTTTTTCTTAATTTAGTTCCGCCAAATATATTTTGAAAAACTTGTTAAAAATTTGAAAAAATATGTTAACAAATTATTTTTTATTAAAAATAATATTATACCTTTAATTCAAATTTAACTACAACAGCATTTAAACTTATTTAACATTAAAAAACACTATTTTCACAAATTATATTAAATAAAATATAATGTTTAATCGTTTAATTCAAACTTAGAAATGAAAATCTAACTCACATTTAAATTTTAAAACAAATTTTATTCTTTTTGTTAAGTTGTTGAAATAATGAAAATGCATCTGGTTGGCCAAGCAAGCAGTGCTTTTATACACCAAGAGACAGATTGATGTACATGTGACCTACGTTCCTCACATTATTATTAGTAACTGTGTGTGTCTGTGTGTGTGTGTGTGTGTGTGTGTGTGTGTGTGTGTGTGTGTGCGTGCGTGTGTGTGAATGTGTGCGTGTGTGTGTGTGTTGTGTATGAGTAAAGTTTTCAATTATTTTCAACTATTTTATTTTCATTTGATGATTTCTTCCAAGACTTTTGTGCAAAAAGTTGAAAATATAAGCGATTTTCAAAAGCTTTGATTCTAATTTTTTAAAACTATCAAATTTTATTTCAGAATTTGTTCTAAAATCAAATGTATATTGTAGAAAAGCATGATTTCTTTTGCGTGTCCCATACTTTTTTCCCCCGTTTCCCCGTTTTCCCCGTTTATTTTTTCTTAATGAATTTTTGAAAATGTTTCTCTTTTGGTGGAGAGTAGAAACAGTCAACAGTCGAAATTTAAATGGAGATTTTGTTAGATTAAAACTCAACCCTAACGAAATAGGGGGGTTTGGCCAGCCCAGACGTCCCTTTTAGCTGTACCTCTGCTGTAGACAATTTACAGAAAACTACCATTGGTGTACAAAATTTTAAAAATTCCAGTTTCATAAATATTTCTCCATAGCAGACCAAGTGCGGACAGAATGTATAATTGAGAAGTTAATTTCTTGAAAAGAATCATGCAAGTACGGGCGTATGATGCAAATTTTCTATAGAGTGTTTTCGGGGCATAGATTTTAAGTTTTAAAATTTCAATCAAACATCGATCCTATTCCTGTATTTAGTGAATTGTGAGTGTAACATAACTGTTGTCGTGCTAAACATAAATAATAAATTTATCAATAACTTAACATTTCATTTGACGTAACGCAAAATTTTGTCTGAACTAAGGAGTAAAAATGTACGTTAGCATGTAGATTTAGTAGTTAATGAAACAAAAAATTTAATTCACCATGAATTTGTTCATTATTTGGAAACTACTAATTATTATCAAGGAAAATTATTTGATGAAGCGAGAAACATCGATTAAACTTATAAAAAGAAGATGTGCAGGTGCACTGTGCAGAGTAATGCTACGCGAACTCTTTTCTATAGGTGAGGAATAAGGATGCTTTTCAAAAAGAATTGATGAGATTGATCTTCAACTGAAATATTAATTAAAGGGTTTCATTATTTTTTTGTTATTTTCTTATTGTTTCTTCTTATTAAACTTTGTACTTGGTTCAATCATTTCAGAACTTACACTTTAAATTTTTCCAAAGCAAACAAGAATAACCATATGAAAATCTCACTTTTTGCGGATGCTTGGGCCTCAACAAAAAATAAAAGACAATTCATTATCTCATAAAAACTGAAGTTCTGTTAGAACATCAGGAAATATCTGAGGGCAGCTTATTATCTACTTTGGACGAATCTTGACCACCACGATTTCATTTTTCGATTTGACACTAACGTTCTTGACGCAACTCAAGCAGACTTTTCATGTTAAATATGATTTATTCTTTATCATGTAGTTCGGACAAACACAAATTTGATTGAAGTTCGCCCCTCAATCAACTAAGTAGTTGTTCATCAAAATGTTGAATTTAGTCGTTTATTAAAACATTGTAACATGAAGATTCTACACTCGCACCACACATTAACACACCACACATTTAACCAAACACCCCATATACACACACACCACATCCCACACAACACACACCACACAAAATTGCCTGATAATATTTTGAGTTTTAGACAGTAGACAGTATTTGGACCAATTAGACAATCGAAAATTATTTGTGGCATTTTTGAACATACTGCTAAGATTTACAACAACGTCTGGTATTTTAGATTTCATGAAATTGAAATATAATAGTGGTGTGATGACGCGTTAGCTGGGTTTGATTGCAAAAGAATGCCCACCACCTGTGTGTGTGTGTGTGCGTCTTTGTGTGTGTGTGTGTGTGTGTGTGTGTGCGTGTGTGTCGTTGATGCCTCTAATGTATGTAGTAAGTGTGACATTGACCTTTAACCTTTTAGGCATAAAATAAAAATCGAACTCAGCTGATTGAAGCATATGACCTAATGAGAATGACAGATGAATAAATAGAATTGTTGGTTCTCCGCTTGTACACAAAAATTAAAAACCTTAACCTTGTGACCCAATTATAGTCAATACAGGAGATATAAAAAATAGTTTGGTTATGTGTGTGTGTTTGTGTGTGTGTGTGTGTGTGTGAGTTTGTAAGTATTTATCTAAATGTTTGTGTCTATTTGTGTGTTTGTGTGGTGACTTTTTCTAAAGCCTAACAAAATGTTTTGTATGTATATTGTAAGTATTTATCTAAATGTTTGTGTCTATTTGTGTGTTTGTGTGGTGACTTTTTCTAAAGCCTAACAAAATGTTTTGTATGTATATTAAATTGTTATCGTATAGGAATCTACAGAAAATGTTTCTTTTATTCTCCATATACATCCTACTATCAATTAATTAAAAGTTTAAAAACTAAACAATTCACAAAGATAAAATATTCTCCATAAAATACATAAAAGAACATAAAAATTGTATAATTTTTTCTTCAATTCTATTCAATTTTTACACTGCAACAAAAAACAAGCATAGCAGTATAAAATTTAGTTAAAAAAATTTCAAATAAGAGTTAACAACAATTCATACAAACGAAATGTTATTTGAGTTTGACTGAACGTTATTAATACTTATTGTAATTTTGTATTGTAATTTTGTATTGTATTGTAATTTTGTATTGTATTGTAAGTTTGTTTTGTATTGTATGTTGGTATTGTATTGTATGTTTGTATTGTATTGTAAATTTGTATTGTAACACGTGCAATGTGTATGCACTCGTTTGAAAAGTCAGCGCATTTCAAAACTCAAACAACGTTATCTTAATTTATTTGACGCTAGTTTTGAATAAATAAAAAATTAATTAATTAATTAACTAATTTATGTATTTATTATGAGTTACTCGACAATATTCTCCAGAGGCATCAGCAACAAACACACAGTGCATGTCAACGCACGTGAAACAACACATCACACGCACATTGCACGTGATAGGTGGGAATCTCTTTGAAATCGAATCCGGTCTCACCACATAATGGTTTTTTTTATTTAAATGTGGTTTATTGGCGCTTTCATTGATGATACTTTTTCAAGAATCAATAATTTGAAATTATTAGAAATATTATTTATTGTTTAAATTTGTTTTGAATTTAAAACATTTTTTTAATTTTTTTAACCTCAATTTGATTTTTTATGTGAAAAATTTAACATTTAAAAAACTTCCAACTTAAAAGTTCTAATGTTTGTTACTATACAGAGAGGATGTCTCACATTTCAATAAGTTGGATTTCTAAATGGTTACAAGATAGACGGCAAAAGTTGATAATGGAGGAAGTTTCTCCAACTGGAGCAATGTTACAAGTGGGGTTCCTCAAGGGTCCATATTAGGACCGCTGCTATTTGTAATATACATCAATGATATTGATCTAGGAATAAAATCTAAAATTTCAAAACTTACATATGACACCAAATTATGCGCTGTTGGAGACAACGATGAAATTTTAGCATGCGATTTGCAAAAAAACATGCAAATGGGCAGAGGATTGGCAGATGGTATTCAACAATAACAAATGTGCAGTCATACATAGGGGAGCGAACAACAAGGCAAACGTATTCAAACTTGGAGACACACCACTAATAAATGTAGAGGAGGAAAAAGATCTAGGGGTGATAATTCATCGGAACGGTAAAGTAGCGCGCCAACCTATCGAGGCAGCTAAAAATGCAAACAGGATCCTGGGTATGATAAAAAGAACAGTAAAACAGAGATTTGGTCGTCATACTAAACTTATATAAAGCATTAGTTTGAATTAAGTTGGAGTACTGTGTTCAGCTTCGGAATCTAGATTTACAAAAGGACAGATATGCTCGAGAATATTCAACGGAGGGCAACGAGAATAATAAAGGAGTGCCGCGGAATGCCAAAAAAAGACAGAATAAAAGTTTGTGGTTTGACAACATTAGAAAAAAGAAAAACAAAAGGAGATTTGATCCAGGCATACAAAATTCTGCTTCATCGCTATAAAGGAGAATTTGGAATCAGCGAAATTTTTTTAGCTCAAGATTAACAGTAAAACAAGGGAGCATAAAAATCTTTAAAAAAAGCTCGAGATCGATGAAACAAAAAATTTTTAGCTGCAGAGTTGTCAAAGAGTGGAACAAACTGGGAGATAAAATAACATGCGCAGAAACAACTAATAACTCTAAAGCAAACTTGGCAAAAGTAGAATATTAAAAAGAGTCTCAGAGTGGTACCGTCACAGACTCAGTCTTCATGGACCACTATAAAAAATCTTTGTTATATTATGTTATGTTATATTATGTTATGTTATGTTATTTTAAGTGAATGAGTGAACAAAACTGTCAATTAGCAGCTAAAACAATAGCGAAATTAGAAGCAAATAGAGGCGTAATATTAAAAATCTTTATTATGAAATAAAACTGGTATCATTAAAGTAATTCATTCATTTTCACTTTAGAGTCACAAATCCCACAAATTATTATTTCGTGAATGGAAACTCGTTATTTGCAGACTGCTTATTTCATGTGTATAAACACACTTAAAGCTAAACAGAATATTGATCTAATTAAGGCTGGGGATTTTTTTAGTTAAAATTTTCGAATACTTCACAACAAAAAATTTTGAGAATAAAAATCGCTGTTATCATATCATATAAGGAACCTGAGACATCTGCTCTTGTCTGGTTAGGATCGAGAAGATGTGCGCGTTAACTTAAACCGACGCCGACCGTAATCTGAATTTTTAAAAATGTTTACGAAAACGTCTGTAAATTTAATTACTGACTCTCTTTCTTTTTTTCCTCCTCTCTCTCTCTCTCTTTCTCTTTCTCACACACACACACACACACACACACACACACACACACACACACACAGAGATACACACATCAAAGGAAGCCAAATCAAAAAAAACTTTGACGGGGAGAGCCAAAACATAAATCCGACGGTTTTATTACTCTGGTTTGGTACAACGCATCACGTGGCATTCATGAATATAAATAAACAATTATGTACCGTGGGTTTAACCAACATTTTTCTGAAAGGATTTTAAAAATATGACAAAAAGTATTTCAATTGTTTTCAATGCGACTACGCCTACAATGTATTTGGCATCAACATGTATGTTATAAAAAATAATGGCAAAGACTGAAACCGTTAATTTAATCTAAATGTTTATCCCATGTTATGTAAATCTGTCCAGCAATCCCTCAAGAACTGTTTGGCACGTAAGAGGAAACTTCGTTAACAATACGGTCTTGACATTCATGAGTCACAACATACATATGCATAGATATATTTTAAATTTTTATTGTTAGGAAATGTCTTTTTGATTTAATCGAATAAATATGATTATCTATGTACTTGTGTGTGTGTGTCTGTCTGTGTGTGTGTGTGTGTGTGTGTGTGTGTGTGTGCGTGCGTGTGTGAGTTTAGATAGTTTTTGGAAAGTTTATGATACAAAATTTTCTTTACTGTTTTTTATTGATCTTCATTTTCACACTCAAAACTTTGATGAATGACATTTTCAATTTCATTTATCATAAGAAGGGCGAATGACGACAAGTTTGTTGGCGGAATTTCTTCTTCCAAATCCAATATAGAGTAATTTATTTTAAACGTGAGTTTAATTTTAATTTCTTCTCAACATTCCTCTTTTCTTTATATGATTTGGTAGATAATTTGGTACACCGTTGCCAGCCATCTCTTGCCAATTAGAAAGTTTACATCTAAATTTTTGCAGTATTAGTATAAGCTATCGAGTACAAAATAGTATAAAAAATATATCAATAATTATTTTTTGGAATGATATTTTTGTAAGCAACGAATGATTTTATTAAAAAACTACTTTTAGAATCAAAATATCTTCTAATTTGTATAAACAAAAGAACATGTCCAATAGGGACTGTAAATGTTTGCTTTAAAAGGAAATTTCTTATTTAGCAAGGTTATTTAAATAAATAGTTCATTGCTCAGTGAGTACAATAAGTCCTACATAAACATCATTTCAGTAAACAAATAAATTCCTATTTAAACAGTATTCAACCAAGTAACCTAAACACTTGAGTCATTTGTCCAAACAATCTATTCACTTGAGTCAAGTAACTTATTCAATCCAAAAAAGTAATGGTGACCACAGTGATATTAATATTTTATATTTTATCCTCTAAACCACTCAAACGTTCGTTCATTCAAACAAACTACTGATCCCAGATGATACACAATAAGACGAGGCAATTTCGAGATTTCCACACCTCGATTCAACCAAAAAATTTATTCAATTACGCAATTTATTTAACCAAGTAACTCATTCATTCAAGAAGTTTTCATTTCAGTGGAGCAGCGTGCATTCGAAGCACCTGCCCACACTTTCATTGTAGGTCTCCAGTTGCACGGTGACATCGTGTATGTTGTGATGAACTTTGAGCTGTTTGATCGCTTCGTGCATTATCGCCTCTCCGTGCGAAATATCATCTGATGGAGTTGTAATGAAAATGCCATATTTTTCGTAAACTTTTGTTGTTCTTTGATAAACGTATTGTAATTTTATTGACAATTAATTCGGACTAAATTGTGATCGAATTTTCAGTTTACCAATCGCTAGATGGACAGACAGAGCAGCTTTAGAGCCAGTGAGTGACCAGATCTTCAAATCGTGAATCTGCATGACTCCTTCTATTTCATTCAGGAATTTCTCTATTTCAGCCCGGTCCACATCAGCTGGAGATCCTAACGAGTGAAAAAACTTTATATCTTGTTTTAATAAATTAAAAATATCATTAAAAAAAACTTTATTGGATAAGCAATGCCATAATATATTAACATTATTGGGTAAGTTTTATTAAATCATAATAATCGGCTTGTTTACTGATATTTTTTTATCTTTGCATTGAAGTCTCACAATCATTTATGGCGTATGCTCAGATAATAATTAATAATAATAATAATATTGCGCAAATAAATATGGAGTATGAAAGGGGCTTGCAAATCTGCGTAGTACCTTCCATCAACACTCTGAAAATATCTTTAAGGATGTTGAACGTGGTGCAGAGAACCAGGATGGAGAAGATGAAAGTGCAGATGGGGTCTGCTATCCGCCACTCAGGCTGAAAAAACATTTTTATTTATTATTTTGTCGGCGCTTCACTTAAATTATAAATACAATTATTTATAAAGATCACTGCGTTTTAGGCATAGTTTCTCAATTTTTCTAACGAGATTTTTATTATCTTGATGACGTTTATTAAGGTTAAATAAAAAAATTTTAATATTTGACATTTTTGACAAAACATTATTAATAACGTTATTACTACAGAAAAGCTTTTTTGGCATCAACTGCCACCATCAGGGTAGTTATATAGTATTGTTCCATCTTTGTGTCTTTGTTTTTACAGCGACTGCAAGTTGAATAATGCCAAAAACGCAGTGATTTTTATAGATAATTATATTTTTGGTAGTCTAAACCCAAAATTAAATTATAAAATGAAACGTAAAAACAGTTTCCGTAATCACGAATTCAACAACAATAACGAATTTTATTGTACACCTCTTGCCAAAACTTTAAGACTCAACCTCGAAATAAATGAGAGTAGAAGCAAAGAGGACGACGGCACTCTGGACCAAGTCGCCAATCACGTGTATGAATGCTGCTCTCACATTTATACTTCGACTATTTGCTTTCTTTATGGTGTTTTTGTCCGATGGATTTTTTATTTGCTCGCTAAAGTTGCTGCCAGACATTGATCCGGCGGACTTATTTATTAAAAGATTTGTTTTTTCGGAGGCTGCCAGCTGGTTATCCAATAAATACGGAGTATAATTTTGGTCGTTAGATTGAATACGTTTGAGGTTTTTTTGGAAAGTTGAATTGCTGGTAATTTCGTTGATTTGTTGTTGTTGATTTTGTTGTTGATGTTGTTGTTGGTGATGTTGTTGTTGATGTTGTTGTTTTTGTTGATTTTGTCGTAGATGATGTTGTTGTTGTTGCTCCAGTTCATGTTGATTTTTCGTACTTCCTTGATTGTCAGAAGCTGCAATTCACAAATACATTCAACTTGTATCGAATTCTTATGATTAAATTCTTAATAAAAAAAAAATAAATAGACAAAATATAAGATGTTTTGTGTTAAGAAAAAGAATTAAACAACAAATAAACATGCCCATTAATTTATATACATAAAGTTATATACATAAATTTGAATACATAAAATTATATACATTAATTATGTACACTAAAGAGTAAACGTAGCAACAAACAGCAGAAACAAGTAACTACACAAAGTTGTTGCACTTAGCACAAATGCAGATGAATCTTCCCCTGCTGAGAACTGATCTTTGCCCAGAACGATCAACATACTGCAGTGACGATTATTCAAATGTTTTTGAACAAATAATTCTTACTGCCTCGATTTTTTATTTATTTATTTAACAAAAGTTACATGTAAATGGCGAAAATCTTTTTACATCAGAACCATGTTACTACATTAGCAGTACTAGTTACGTTAACACACCATCGCACTTTAAGAAAAATAATAAACTAATAGTTTTTATGAATTACTAAAAAGTAAACTTTTTATTTATATATCATCTATATATAAATAAATAAATATATATATATATATATATATATATATATATATATATATATATATATATATATATATATATCTATTTAAATAAAAAATTGTTTGTCAAACTGACCAAATGTTGAAGAAAAGACCCAGACCGGCGGTGACCATCATGATTTTAGATTGGATTTCAAAGTCGTTCTGGACGATTCGGAGGATGGCGATGAAGACGAGGACGACAGCCATGAACCATATCATTAGAACTGATATCAAAGCACCAAGTACCTCTGTTTTTGGGTTTGTTGCGTTTGCTCATTGTTGATTGTGTTTGTTCCTTAACGTGTGTGTGCTCGCATGAGTTCATTTGACGCATGTACAGTGTCTAGGTGTAAACGTGGAAGTTGAAATTAAATGGAGTTTATGTGAGAAATTAATATAAAAAGACTCAAAATTTAAAAAAGATTATCGCTGATTTAAATTTTTTGAAATAATTTTGAAAATTAAAATATCTTTACTAACCTGCTCTGTACCAACCGAAGTTGTACATCTTGCTGACTGGTCTGCTAGACAACTTGAGAGCGATGAGGCTGACGGCAAAGCTGATGAGGTCAGTTAACAGGTGGGCTGCGTCGGTAACAATTGCCAAACTGTTTGCCAACAAACCACCTAGTTACCGTCAAATCAAGTTTTATCGAGTTAGTTAATGGTTTCAAGTTCCATTCTCGGTTATTGACTTATTGATAATTTATCAAGCTGAGCCTCACAGAGTGTAATATGTTTAAAAAGTTAATGACAAGTGCCATAGTATTAGCTCATCCGTGTTTGTTATGTTAAAAGCGAAATTCAAAACTGATAAAACAAACGTTCCTTGCGTCGTTCGTTGTTCCTTAAATATATAACCAGCATTAAGCATGTTTGCATTGAATGCCTTAAATGTGTACGCTTCATCGAAAATTTTGAAAATTAAACATTTTACAAATCCCGAAAACTTTTTATTAAATGCAAAAGGCAGACAGAAGCACTTCCAATTAATTAATTGACATTCAGACATTCAGACATTCATTAAAAAATTAACGCAAACGAATGCAACAAAACTACGGGAGCGTGCGCGCCCACACACACACACACACAAACCAACCTATTATCTCAGCCATCATAAAGAGGAAACAAAGAGAAAGAGCCTTGACCAGCTGGCGGACAGCTCTTTTCTTGTCCTCGTTCTCCCTCACCATCGTCAAGTTGTGGCAATGGGTCTTCCTGGTCACTTCAAGTTTTTCATCTTTGGGGCAGTGGTTTTCATCTATTCAAATGAATGGACCAGGGTCAGGGCAGAAATTACTTTTTTGCTTAATTTCCGAAACTTTTATTATTTATTACATTGTTAGTTGATCAGAATTAGAATGGAAATAGCTGAGATAAGAAATGAAAATATTTTTGAAAAGTAAATTACCTTCCATTGTTAGCGGAAAATTAAATAATGTTCACAAAAGTAATTCAATAAAAACGAATAAAAATATTTTACGCTCAAGTTATTTAATATAAATAAATTATCTTATTAACTATTATATATTCATTTTGACTATTTTTATGCCAAATTAACATTAACATGTAATAGATACGATGTGTGTGTGCAGTGTGCACTTCAGAGCTTATTGATTAATTGAAATCATCTAAACTTACATAACATTTAGGGTATGTTAATTCAATTCAAATGTTCAACGTGATATTCGCAATGATTGGAGTTTGAACGCCTTTTGGTGCAATTTTAGAAAATTTTACTACTTTTATAAAGGAAAAAACAGACGAATCATGCTTAGATGAATAACATACACACAGACAAACATACACATACACACACACACACACACACAAACACACACACAAACTATTCAGCCATTTATCATCGTCATAATACAACTGATGTTACTAAATAACGATATAACACAAACAACAATAATATTAATAATAATTAAAAATAAAAATAATTATGAGAATAATGACAACTATTATTATTTATATTCATAGTCGCATCGTTTATGATGTTTTTTTTGTAACATCCATCTAGAAATGTCTGTTTGAATCCAAATCTACGATCCTCTTAGTTTGGAGTTTATAATTTGATTATTGCATATTTTGCTGCTGCTACTGCTGTTGTTGTTGTTTTTAATAGTTTTGTTGTTATTGTTGTTGTTTGGTTGTTTGGTTAAAAGAAGTGGTAGTAGTAGTTGTCGTTGTTGTAATAGTAGTAGTTGTTGTTGTTGTAGCAGTATTAATAGTAGTAGTAGTAGTAGTGGTAGTAGTAGTAGTAGTAGACGTAGTAGTAATAGTAGTGGTACTTACCCAACAAGAATTTTCCTGCTTATGATGAACATTCAATAATAATACAGACAACTTTCTTTACATTCACAAACGAAGCAGACGTATTTTTTACAACTGATGTTTCTGGTAGATTTAGTTTGATTCCTTTCTTTTCCATCTTGAAAAGCATGTGCCGCGGAAGATAAACATCCCATATTCTCCTGGATGTCCGTTATGTTTTTCATAGCCACCATTATTTCTTCCACTTTTGTCACGAAAAAACTTTTATAATATTTCCCGTTGTTTGTTGTCTCAAATTCTCCACCTTGCTCAATTCTATCCAACATTTCTTTCAAGGTCATTTTTGCCTCCTTTTAGACGCAATTACATCCAAATTCGTTAGTCGGCCACTTCTTTTGCTGTCCACTGATGTTATCTTGCATTCCACTTCTATTGTTTTTTAGCTTAAAATTTCAAATTTGTGAAAATAACTTTTTTTCCCGATCCGAAATTTTTTTTAGCTTTTCTTCCAAGTTAACAAGTCCCTGTGAAATTATCTCCTAAAATTTTGAAAGTTGCTAGCTACAATTATTAGCGTTAAAGACTAATTTTCGTTTGAATTTGAGTGAGTACAAGAACTGTGGAGCTTTTATAGCAACTTCATGTTGGAGACTGATACAAGCTTTTGTTGTTGATGGACGAACGATTATGAAAGAATTGGCCAATGTTAAGGAATGCCTCTTTGCTGGCCACTGTTGAATACTTGAATCACTTTATTTTATTCACACATGCGATGTGTGTGGGTATGAGAGGAAGAGAGAGGGAGAGAGAAAGAGAGAGAGAGAAAGAGAAAGAGAGGAAAGAAATAATTATTACATCAAAAAATTATTTAAGTTCTTTGATGTGTTTTTAATGTTTGAGTTAATTTAATAAATAAATTTTGTACTTTCATAACGTGATTGTCGCCGCATCTTAAATTAAAAAGTCATAGGTTGCGGTTGTCATCAGCCCTCGTGGCATAGTTTTAGAAAATAACAATGGTGATGACGATATGGTGAATGTGATGAAGTGATGATATGGTGAATGTGAGTTTCGCGATGTTTGTAGATCTGCTCAATATTTGTTCTTGGATCGTCTTTCAAACAGGCTCCTGGCTCGATCCCTACACTAAAATTACGTAACCTATGGCATTAGTAACAATGATATAATACAAGTTGAAAACGTTGTAATATTTTTTCAACAGATGTATCAATCTAGTTAGATAAAAAAAATAATTCAAATTTACACTTGTTTGTGTTAGTATTTGTGATAAAAGAGAAATATTCCTATGGAATAAGATGATATAAAATTATTTTAGAAAAATTTGCAGAGTAGTTTGCACTCATCAGATTAAACAATTCTAATTAACAATTAATTAATTAATTAATTAACAATTCCACAATCATAAGTAGAAATCTACCAGAACGAATCCGCGTTCCACGCCAAAATTTTTGACGAGATGCAGTTACCACTTCACGGCAGATCATACGTATTAAATAATAACATTGTTAGGATTTTAATGGTTAATTCTTTGAATTTTTTTCTGTCTAAAATTTATTTAAGTAAAAACACTAAAATTTTATTATCACTAAAATGAACAAAAACTAATTTAAAAGTCAGTGCGAGTAATATTGGCAATCACAAAATAAAAGAAGTCTCCCATATGCACCATACGATGAACTGCAAAAACAACTTTGCAGTTAATATTTGTGAAAAAAGCCACAATGCTATAAAATAATTATTCAAAAAAAATAATTTCAATTATTTTTTTAACCTGCACACTTGCAATAGTAAAATTGTTTTGCATGCATTTATTAGTACAGTATTCAATTGTCATATAGTCATATACACTAAAATCCGGAGAAAATCCTGATGACAACCTTTATATCCTGAACTGGTTATTCCTGAAAAAAAGATTGGTTGTAAGGCTGAAGGAATTTTTTCTCAATTAAAATGTAGTAAATTAAACTGCTAAACCTGAAAAAACAGCGTAATGAGAGGAGCACCAAGAAATGGAACTACAGCCGCAGGAGACATAAGTTTTTCCAGGTTCTGGTGGAGTTCCACACATGCAATGCTCTCCATTCTGGTGAATAAATAAAAAGTTCAAAATTTGTTATCTCGGTTTTTAATTATGATCAATCATTGTTAACTGTAATCGTGGAATAAACGTATCCTGATAGCATGCACAAGTTCAGACATATTTCTATTGAAGATTCATGAAAATAATTTTTTTTTCAAAATTGCTTGAACAAAAATAATATTTGTCTGCAAGATTTTCTGAAATAGATTTATTCAAAACATCAACTTCTCGTTCAAAACTGTATGAAAACTTTGGCTACTACCTAAACCATGGACTTCAAGTTCAGCGAATGTCATTGGACTGGCGGGACCAGCCTTAGCCGCCTCTTGCTGAATAATAACAAATCTTGAGTAAATGTTAATGTTAATACAATCAACTCTCATTGGTTGAAAATCGGCTGAAACTGTCTTTGGATATTGACCACAAAACTCGTAATTATCCCGTATGGTTTTGTTCACTTTTGGATCAAAATAATTTGTAAGTCCAACAAGAAAATTGTCCATGGTATCGTCTTGAAATAATTTTTAAAAATAACGTCAGATCAAATTGAAAACGCTCACATTTTTCAACTCACAACAACATCCAGAGCGCGAATACAGCACAACGTAGACGACTTTGAATTTTTGAATAAGATCAACCGCAAACCAGTTTTCGTAGATAGGAGTTTCTGGTGACAACAAACAGAAAGTTGTTTTGTCTCCATCAACACATAAACTTGGAGAATGCACCAGATCTTCAGTACTCATATAAGCAGGTTGATTCAATGCTACATTACTATATCGTAATAAAATATCTGAAAAATAATAATTATGTAATATAACTGATGCATCTACCAAACAAATACTCATTAAATGTTGAGAAGACTGTTCTGTTTACCATCCAGACAAATCACTATACGTAGACCGCATAAGGGAACAGGTGTTGAGGCACACATTACACTATTTTTTCATAACAAACATAAATGTATGGCATTTAGCAAAAAGAAACAATACATAAACATTCAAAACGGCTATCATCATTTTTTTCTCTTGACAACAAACTGTAGTAAGAATCGTGGCGTTTGTTTGTTACTTGTTGTTAGAAGAATATTCTAACGTGTCCTTGTAGTCCGCTTATGGGTGGATTCAGACAACGTTGATGAGGTGGGTGAATTTTTAAAAATTTTGAAATTTGACGGGGTACCAAAAACAACAAAAACTGCCGGTCCCACAAAAATTCGCAACTGAATCTGTTTAATTGTCACCAATTTGGAAAATATTTTTCCAGGGGCTTAGTTTGAATTCAGCCTTAGACATGTTCAGTGGCAATTTTAGGAAACGAGGACTGGGGCCCGTTATTAACTGTTCACAATTATTTTGTTGTAATTTTCTAACTTATACTGTTTAGTTGCTTTTTATACACTGAAACACAGTTCTGCATATTATGAAAATATAGTTTTACATCAAAAAATTGAAACAAAATGTGTGATAAACTAAAAAAAAGGTCGCTATGTATTTCCAATATCCGGTCCCGGTCCCTCCTCAAACTATAGCCCACCCCTCCCCTTTAAATTTGTCTTGTCCCACCCAAGAGAAGGGTAATACTACTGACATAGTTTTTGGTAAAATAATATTATATAAAATTAATTATAATACATAAATTATAATGCTACAGTATATTTTACAATTCTCTCTTAAGAATTCTCTCTTTACAATTCTCTCTTTTTCATAGGATTTAACAACATCTCTACATTACATACATCTATACATTAAAACCCATTCTTTACAACAAGCACCCTAGCTATTAAACCTGATTAGTTTTAGCATCATGGTATAAATAATTGAAGTGAAATCTTACCGTTGGCATAAACTTCTAGCTCTGCAAATTGTAACTGTTTATCTGAAAGCATTTCTTCAATACTATGATCCCGTTGAATAATGACAAATCTGTAGAATTCCGTGTATCCCCCACAAGGAACCGTAAATGTGTGATCGGCTGGTAGATTAGAAAATGGGCTGGTATCACAGATGTGGTAACCATTCCCTACAGGTGCATTCGTTTGACGATCAAAAGTGTTTGTCATTCCTACTATAAAACCGTTCATAATATGAGCTGAAAAACGAGTACAAGTATACCATATCAATTTTTTAAAACTAATTATTTAGACGTCAAACTCACCACATCCACCTACACAGTTAGGATTAGTGTGCAGCGAAATATACTCGACATGGTATGCATTAATAAGGTCAACAACAAACCAATTGGAGTCCGGATAACTTTGGTCAGCTTGAACTATGGTGCTTGGGTCCCCATCCACACCGTTGGAAGCTCGATTCATCCCATTCACCGAACTCAGATAGGCAGGTCTTTTTAAAGCCACATTAACCACCGCAGCTAAATTGGTTAATAAAAACGCAACTTTTTGCTCTTCAAAATTGTTAACAACGAATAAAATTTTTAGACTTGAAAAGATTTAAATTTCAAATTACCTCTAGTAAACACAAGATAATTCAAAGTGCAAGCAATAATAGTTTTTCATTTCAAATGAAAAACTAAAACGTATAAATTATTCGTAACATTTAAACATTTAACTGTTAATAGTGATAGCTATTTCTCCAAATAACAACAATTGGGAGGTATCATCAGAATATCTATCTCTTTCTCTCTCTCTCTCTCTCTTTCTCTCTCTCTCTATATATATATATATATTTATTTATATATATAATAAATCATTTTACCAAGAATGTCAGCCAGCCCGATTCGTAAGAAGATTGCTGTGAATCAGCTGCAAGTTAAGCGTATCGACTTGAAAATTAATTATTCAAACAAAAATAACTAACTACAGGCACAAAAAATATACATTTTTGCCATTTGGGACCATTTAGCAAACAATTTAAAAAAAATAAAGCTAAAATAAAATGAAAAAAACTGTAATGACTACCTGAAAACGTTTTAACACTCTAACTGATCTAAATTTTACTATTTAAAATTGCATTCGTAAATTCCAGCGTAGATTTCTCAAAATGGACCAAACACTTAATTTCCCTTACAATTGTTAACCCAGGTAGTGAATGTTATAAAAATGTATTTTACAGTGGCGGATCTGGACAACTTTGACGGGGGAGCAATAATTTTAACATTCTACAAGAAACGGCGTTTTTTCTGTGCAAAAACTGAGTTTTAGTCACTTTTTTAAAAGTAGGGTACAACTCACCACTATGGCAGTAGTAGTGTATGAATAAAACTAGTTAACTTTTTTTTATTGAAACAGTAAAACAATTTCACGTTTCCATATAATTAAAATTAAAAAAATTCCAAACAGCATGACTCCTTTCAGTTGCGTTTTCAAATGTTTCAAACAGCATTTATATAAGTCATATAAGTAGTGCACTGTGCACTGAGTCAACTATTCATAAGTTATTTACGACAGTTCGTAATTTATTTACATGAAAGTTAAATTATTACAAAAATCGCGAAATAACACTTCGATTATTTTTTCGACAATTTATCGAATGGCAAATGGTAATTGGAAACTATTTTAAATTTTTATTTGGAAAAATTAGAAAAAAATAAAGATAAATAAATAAATAAATATTATTAGTAGTAATAGTAGTAGTAGTAGTAGTAGTAGTAGTAGTAGTAACAGCAGCTGCAGAAGAAGTAGTAGTAGCTGTAGTAGTAGTAGTAGTAATAGTAGTAGTAGTAGTAGCAGTAGCAGTAGTAGTAGTAGTAGTAGTAGTAGTAGTAGTAGTAGTAGTAGTAGTAGTAGTAGTAGAAGCATTTTAATTATTTGTTTGCACTTGTTAAATGATACAATAACTCTTTAAATTCTTCGCTTGATGAGTTGTCCTAATTTTATGCATTATTTATGTTTCACACACATAAATAATAACAATGTAGTTGTTGATGATTGTGGATAGAGTAGTGTTTGTTGCTCTTATTTATTGCATACTTTATTAAGTGCATGCGACATAACTAGGCACTTAAGACATGTTAAATGACATTTGGACGAGTAACACCAGTAACTTGTTTACTGCATAAAAATAAATCGAGAGTAAAATGAAACAAACAATTAATAAATGTGCACGTGTGTCTGAGTGTGTGTGTATGTATGTGTGTATGTATGTTTGCATGTATGCAAACAAGCATGTATGTAAGCGTGTGTATGTGTACATATTGAGGTGTGCCTTACGTATATTTGTATGCGTGCATCTATGTACGTATGTATGGGAATAAATTTTATATGTTAACATCAATAACTACATATCATAAAGAGTATAATTAAACGTTTCAACGTTTTAATCGCCAACGGACTGAATATTCAATTTTCTGTAGGTTAAACATAAATGAAGTTTTCTACTGCAATGCATATGCTAGCGTAAATTACTTCCAACCAATAATGAAAATTTATTTCGATTGACCACAACCATAACGCGAGACGTTTATTACAGTGCGTGCCTTGAAATACAGTTGAATAAAGACCGGAGCAGATGAAGAAACTCATTCCGCGATTGAAACTACAAAGAGAATTTTTGAATAAACAAAAATCAATTGGCACCATAACATTACAAATTACAAAAACAAGAGCTCCTTCTAGTTCCATTTCCTTGTCAATTTTGTACTTTCTGAAACCTCTGCGGTAACTCTTAAAACCATACATTTACAGGTTTACACACACGTACTGTAGGTCTCGTCAAACAATGAGAAGTAAATGAGAACAAAAACATGGATAAGCTGAGATTTTTGTTGCAATTTTTTTCAATATTATATTTATTTTTACGTGTTTTATGTGAATAAATTTAGCATTGATTAGAAAACCAACCGGTAAATATGCAAAACGTTTGAGAAGAAAACAAAGACCCGCTATTGATTATATTTTTTGCTCTCACCGTATTGATTGTAATGAAATATCGCTCATCTCTTTCAAGTAATTTTTGTATAGTATTATTTTGCAAAATATTTTGGCTTTCACAAACATCTACTTCCTTATTGTAATTTTTTCACTTTTTACGTAAATATATAAATATATATATATATGTGTGTGCATGTGTTTGTGTTTGTGTGTGTGTGTGTGTGTGTGTGTGTGTGTGTGTGTGTGTGTGTGTGTGTGTGTGTGTGTGTGTGTGTGTGTGTGTGTGTGTGTGTGTGTGCATTCAGCAAGAAATTTACTCAATGTTTTTAGTAGAATTTCTTATTTCCAATAATAATTTTTTATTTCACTTTTTTATCATAAGTTTTCAACGCAAGCGATACGACAGAATGACAAGGGAACTTTGAAAGGGAAAAAATCAATGTTCTCGTCATCTATTCCAAAATTTTCTTACCTGCATGTCTCCTGTATGATGAGGAAGGCAGTGATTATCAATAAGTTTTTTTTAATTTCATGTCCCTTTATATTTAATAATCATTTATTTAAAATATTTATTATTTGTGACTATTATTTATTAAGCAACGTTTCATGGGATGGGCTTAAATTAAATTTAAGTGCGTCACATGTAAAACATGACGGATTCACAAAAAAAATCTTTAAATTATCACACAAAATTTTAATAAACATCGTTACGCTTTAAAATAGCCTTCGGCCGCCTAAAGTCGTGTTTCATATTAATTAAAAATCATCACATATAAGAAGTTTATTCAGCAAACTGATCAAATCAGATAATTATTAATTTCTAACAAATATTGCAAAATAGGTTAACTTTTTACATATTGAGTTAATGCAAATAAAGAATATATAGAGTTATCTTTTGAGAGCTATTTTTTTATGTTTTTAAATGTTGCAAGCATTGTTTCAAACTTTTATCAAACTTGAATTAAGTGTCACAATTGATTACAAGAGTTGTTCATACTTGTAGAATTTGAACTGCTAAGCATATTGAACTTCGTAGAAACTCCACCCTGAACTTAAGTTTAAGCTACTTAGTAGGTAGCCATTCAAATGCCTGTTCAGCTCACAAACTGACCCATCTACTTGAAAATTAACGGAATCACATGATCCTGGAATGCATGTCAGTAAACATTTTATTCTTCCATTAACAACTAACCTACCTGAAACATATCCAGATAAACGCCGGTTGAAAAAACGTTTCCAAATTTTAGCTGTGGATAAATAAAAATTGTTGTTTTCAGATTAATTAAGTCAATTTAACAAAACATAAAATATCTTACAATTGAGATAATTAGCAGCAAAAACTTCCAGTTCGCAGATGGAAAACGCTCCAGGTCCGTAAACAGGCTGTTGAGCAATGACGTAACGATGGGCTGATGTGAGGTGGGCATTGCACTTCAATGTGTGCTTTCCACCACCAACTGCCTTGTACTTGTATTGACCACAGAGAGGATAAGTACCTCTTACAACGTCCAAACCATTATAATTTTTCGAATCCAGTCCGATCACGAAATAATCCATGCGTTCGGCTGACAATGAAAATGTAACTTACAAATCAATTGAAAATATTAATAGGTATGATTAATTTTGAAAAATTTTTTGTACACAATTTTAAATTTGTTTATGACCGAAAAATTTTTCAACACAACTGAAAAACGTACGGCAACAATAGTCTCTCGAAAAAAGATTCACATAATCCACATAATAGGAATCCACGAGATCCACAACTGCCCAATTGGGACCACCAGGACCATCGCTCCCATGATAACAATGCCCACTGGAATAGTTAGGATTTGAGTCACCATCCACCAAGTTAGATGGTAAAGAAAGGTTATCGAAAACTGAACTACATATCGTCTCCTTTCTGAGAGCCAGATTTTGAGCATTGCACTTTTCAGTGAGAACTGTGAGTATCAAAAAAATCATCCCATTTAACGACAATAATTTTAAAATCATGATTTCTTTTAAAAGTTTATAAAAATAAAAAATAGTTTGCAACAATGAATAAATAATTACACCGTCTCTATGTTATGGCTAAGAGTATAAATGATGATACTATATAAATCTTTCTAGTAAAATGTATAAGCTTATAAGCGTGCACATTTAATGTAGCCACATTAAATAATTTTATATATGGTTACGGAAACCACACAAATACGCATATGTATATACACGCACACACACACACACACACACATATATATATATATATATATATATATTTATATATATATATATATATATATATTGTTGAAGTTGTTGCAGTCATAGATGGCATTCGGTATTGTTGCTGTTTGGAAGGTCATCATTTCAGGTTTGTGTGCTTGTGGTCGGTTGAGATGGTTCCTTCCTCATCGACGATGAGTGATCTCCAGCAAATGACTCCAAAATGTTGACGTTTGTAACAGTTGACCCGGTGTTCAAAAGTTAATCTTCTTTCTGCTCTGTCGAGGTTTTTGCAGGCTCAGTTTTTTGCTTCCATTTCTGTTCCACTTGATTTTCCGAGTGGTGCTTTATATAAATTTGATGATGTTGCCTTGTTTATGTTTACAGATGTTTGTGTGGTTGTGGTTTGTTGATTTTGTTGTTGGTCTGTTTGTATTTGTTGATGTTGAGTTGGTTGTGTTTGTTGATGTTTTTGTTTGGCTTGTGTTTGTTAGTTTGCTGATTGCATCTGTTGATGTTTTTATTTGGCTAGTGTTTGTCGGTTAAGCATTTGCTGCAGTTGTTGATTAACAGAGCAGAAAATTGACCTTTGAAATGTTTAACACCAGGCCAGTTCCTACAAGCGCCAACATTTTCGAGTCAGTTACTAAAAATGAAATATCTCAAACGACCACAAATACATTATTTTGTGTAGGCACTTGTCTTTGGTTGCTGTAACTATCTCCTGTCATGGGAGTATATCTCAAAGCATATTTTGAGTAGATCTGTGATGTCATTTTTGCTGCTGGCTATAAGCAGATTTTGTTATCAATTAATCAATCAATCAATCAATTAGCTTATAAAGCGCTATTTCCGCGATGTTCAACAGCGCTCCTCAATGAATTTTGAAAATAGATGGGTCTTGAGATCCGCTTTGAACTTTGCAAATGATGGAGAAGTAGTCAGAGAGTTCCAGAGAAAAGGACCAGAAAAAGCAAAAGCAGATTTGGCAAAATATACCTAAACATTTTTCTTCAACTTTTAGCTGTCAGGAAATATTTTTCTCAATATTTGAAAGCGTAGTCAACAACACAATCAAAGATATTGTAAACATAAACATTTTAGCAAAAGCAAACTCTGCTAGGTAATTCAATCATTCATCAGCCAATCATTACAAGCCTGTAATTTACAAGCAGGTAAAGTCTTCTTTGGCACATTCCTTTGTTTACTTCACCTTGAAACTCTCATATATTATTGGTTAAATTTTTTCTTTTATATAATAATTATAATTAATTCCATATTAGAATCTATATAAATTGTATGCATAGATATATATGACAAGTTTGAATAAACAGTTGCCATAAAATGAATAATTGCCTTCGTTAACAGTCACTCTGATTAATCGGCTTTGTGATATTCATCGCGTCGATTGAAAATGCAAATGAACTTTAATAAAGTAATAAATTAACACTTTGATTATCCAAATTCCAACATTCCAATGTGTTCAATTAACAAATAAGTTGTAATCCTTTGTCCATCTGCTAACATGAATTTATTATATAAGTGAGAGACCTGACTTGAGGAAACATAAACAGCTTTCGTGTGTGGTTAGCGCTATTAACAATCGAATAATCTTTTGCAAAATTTCTTATTCAGTAATTTTTTTCATTCATCAGTCTACGATAACTACTAAAATGGCAGGAAATTCGAAAGAACTTACAAATCGTTTAGAAAAATTCGAGGGTTGTGAAGAATTTTGTTCTAATATCACAAAGGAAGAAATGGAGGACAGTTTCTGCAGCAACGTCCGTAAAATATTGCGGGACATGAAGACGATTGAAAACCTTTTCAACGAAATAGAAGAAAAGAGAAAACAAAATGAAGAAATAAAATCAGAAATAAAACGTTGGCTGAGCGAAGATCAAACAGAATTTGCCAGCGATGTCGGCAACGCAGGCATCACTTCTAATGCAACAAAAACAAAATTTGGAGAATATACAAAAACAGGACAAGAAAACAACAAAATTGGAGAAAATGAGGACAGTTTCTGTTGCAGTGTACGGCAGATATTAAAAGACAAGAAGACAATTGACAATCTTTTTGTTGAGATTGAAGAAAAGATGAAAAAAAATTCCGAAATAAAATCTGAAATAAAACGTTTGATAAATGATGGATCCACTGGCGATGTTAGCAATATAGTCGACATTTCTGCTACACTGAATTCAACAGACGCAACAACTACTTATATAAAAAGAAACCCGACAGAAGCTCACACAACGACAAACAAAATTTTTTCATCAACAAACAAAACAATAACATCAGCAAATTTGAGGAGAAAAATAATATTAGCAAACATAAACAACGCAAGATCTAAAAACACAATCAACGAAACAACAAAGTTAGCATCAACGAACATAAAGAATACATCATCAACAAACAAAACTACAACAACATCAGCCAGCAGCAAAGGCGCAGCATTTAGAAATTCACACGAAACAAGTTTTAATGTGAAGTGTTTATCTGAACCAAGAAAGAGAAGAATAAGGAGAAGATTGACTTTTGAAACAATGGTCCCTTCACCTGGCTTGACTCCAGCAAAAGAATTCTTGGTAAAGGAAGAAACAGAAATTAATTTAGACTCTACACCAATTAGAGAAAATACAAGAAGTGCTCAAACAGCAAAAATATCATTTTCATCTATATATAGAAATCGAACAAACCAATTACAAAGAATGCACAGGACAACAAATCATACAAACACATCAACAACGTTAACCAATGCAATCAGTGGAGCCACTAAACCAACAAACTCGAAGCAAACAAAATCATCAACCAAGACAAACAGACCAACAACAAAATCAACAAAAATAAACCACACAACATCTACAATAAATCATACAAACACATCAACAACGTTAACCAAGGCAATCAGTGGAGCCACTAAACCAACAAACTCGAGGCAAACAAAAACATCAACCAATACAAACAAACCAATAACCAAATCAACAAACATAAACCATACAACATCTACAAATACAAACCAAGTCACATCATCAAAGTTATTCAAAACGACTGCCACACAATTAAAAGAAAACACTGGAAAAGCTCAGGAGCCGATACGGAAATCGTTTTCGTTTATGCATAGAAACCGAACGAATGAATTAAAAAAGACACTCAGTACAACAAACCACACAAACGCCCCAACAACATCAACAGAAGCAATCGGAGGAGCTGCCAAACCAACAAACACAACAAAAACATTGAAAACGCATGCAAATGAACCAGCGTCATCAAAATCATCAAACATCAGCCACAAAACATCGCAAGTAACAGAAAAATCTGAGAAACCAACACGGATGTTTAGACACGGCACAATAAAAGTACCAACAATATCAACAAACACAATCATTGGAGCCACAAAACCAACAAACACTGAACAAACAAAAATATCAACCAATACATACAACTCAACATCAACAAACACAAACAGACCAAAAACAAAATCAACAAACATAAGCCACAAATCATCTATAAACACAAACAACACAATATCATCAAATATATATAGAGCCCCAGGTGAAAACTCGAAGTGGACAAAGGTGGAAGTAAAAGACTCCTGTGAGCTTGAGGAAATAGAAAAAGAAAAAAGAAGATTGACTTTAAAACGGAAAAACACCAGGCCAGTTGCCAATATCCACACATCACCAACAGAGAAAGCAACGAACGCAACAGCACAAAACCTGAATGATGGTCTTCCAAACAGCATTAATACTGAAGATAAAATACCATCTATGACTTCTAAAAGAAGATTGACTTTTGAACTGAAAAACACCAGACCTGTTGCCAGTCTCCACACATCACATAAAAAAGACATCATCTGAAACGAACGCAACCACACAAAACCTGAATGATGGCCTTCCAAACAGCAACAATACTGAAGATCAAATGCCATCTAGGACTGCGAGAGTTTCAACAAACAAAACAGCGCAATCGACGTTGAAGGTCCTGCACAGTTAGAACAAACAATAGTCTACCCATTCGTCAAACTCGTGCCAAATGTTTGCCATCCATCCTGTGGACAATCCAAAACTCAACTTGTACATATTGAATATATTGTTTATATTGTACATATTGTTTATATTGTACATATTGTTTATATTGTACATATTGTTTATATTGTACATATTGTTTATACTGTGAATACTGTATATATTGTATATATTGAAAAAAATAAAAAAAAGGTAAATAAAAAAAATTTGAATAACTTTGAAAACACTAAAAATTGTATTTTTATATAAATATGTAAACATCATTTTAGTTACCTTTATTCATTTCTATTCATTTTTTTAATAATTTATGTCATATAATAATTTTTGTATTTATTCATTTGATTTTGTTTCAAAAATTTGCATTTGCATACTTTATTACAGGGGTGACCAAACTACGGCCCGCTGGCCGCATGCGGCCAGTAAAGATTTTTTTATGCGGCCCGCGACGCCTTGTTCGCCATAAAATGATAGTCAGCCAGATGTTATGACCAAAAAAAGAGCCACAAATCTTAAAAAATTCTTCCCCGGGTCGAAAAGGTTTACTATTTATGTACATATTCGGCCCTTCAAAGATGAGATAGTTCTCAATGCAGCCCTCACAGCAAATAGTTTCCCCACCCCTGCTTTATTATGTCTGTTAAATAGTTATAACTTGTAGTTTGATTTGTATAAATAAATAATAATAAATAAATATTTGTCGTTAATAACAAATATAATGAAGTGAAATGACTAACAATAAATATTTCTCGCAAGTTTAAATTTCAATCTGTACGAATTATGATTGCAATGATAGTATTCGCTAGACGATTTTCACAATACAAATCAGTATAAAAATTAAGTCAGCAAATATACTTCTCGAAGAAATATAATAAGGAATAATTCGAAGGTGATAAATTTGATACACGAAAATATATACTAAATGTGAAGTTCTGGTAAGCGAGGTATAAAAACTTCGTTCGAAATCCAACGTCGATGTCAATGACGGATTGGCGGATGGATGGAAAAGAGTTCCACAGTGTCAAATTTAAAAAATCGAAAACAACAAAATCAAACAAAATACTAACAACCATAAAGACAAACATAAAATATTTACTATGATGAAAATTACATGAAAAATAAAAATGCTGTAAATAAATTTTGAAATCTTCTTAAAAGATAAATTAAATTACGCAAACGATGTATTATATAAAAACTAAAGTAGATAAATTTCCAATTGATGAAAATTGTAAACAATCGCAGATTAGTTGTGTTGCATTGTATGGTATTGTATTTTATTGTACGGTATTGTATTGTAAGGTATTGTATTGTGTTGGTTTGTATTATATTGAATGGTATTGTATTACATGGCATTGTATTGTGTTGTTGATTTCTAGAGCGCCTCTATTTAGTTATTTCAGAGGTGTGCTTTGTTTAGTTGAAAAAATGATGTTTTTTTGTTGTTCCATAGATAATTTCAAGACATGTTTCAAGACAGAAGCAGGTTGTTGATCGTTGAAAGGCAAAATGCCATTGCTAAAGTTAATAGAGACCTAGTAGAAGTAAAAACCCATTATTATTCATATTAAAAGATTGAAAAAAAAAATGAAAACAGTATATAGCACTTGATTGCGCTGAAAAAATTTTGTTGGTTCCCAAAGAAATGTTACAGCAACAGACTAAGTGGAATGAAAAAAATAATTAACCGTTAATTGCCTTTGTTAACATTCATTTTAATTAATCAGTTACGTCAATTTCCTTTCAAAGTTCAAATTGAGACCAAATGACTGACTGATTGACTCACGGCACCAGTGATAAAGTGAGGACGAAAAATCATTTGAAAATTTTTGCTATCAGGAAATGATTTCTTCACATTTTTGTGCCAACAAAAAACAAGAAAAATGAAAGGGCAGTCAGTCAATCCAGCTGCGATTTTTTCAGCTCAATGTTTCAGTTTAATTTCGATGAAAATAAAAGCAACAATCAGTCAGGCAATCAATAAATCAAAGAAGCAAGCAATAGAAACCTAAAATTTACAATCTTCTTTACTTTCCATTTAAGTTGCATAACAAAGGATTTCAACTTTCCTTTAATTGAATACTTTAGAATTCTTTCCGCTTTATAACTGATCGAGTTTATCTGGTTTAATTGCTTAATTAAAGTGATATTTATTGGTTTGTCAAAGGTTATTTCGATACTTTTATTGGAAGTCACTTAATTATTGTATTGAACAATACGTAACTAATTAATCATTGACACTTTCATTTATTGCTAATAATTTTATACATTTTTTTCTTACCTTAATTTTAATTAATGCATTATTAAAAACTATATAAGTTTTTACTTTATTGTATTGTAGTAAATATTTAACAATTGCTCTGAAAAGAATAATTAACCGTTAATTGCCTTTGATAACATTCACTTTGATAAATTAGTTACGTTCAATACAATAATTAAGTGACTTCCAATAAAAGTTTCGAAATAACCTTTGACAAATCACTATAATTAAGCAATTAAACCAACAAAACTCTATCAGTTATAAAACGGAAAGAATTCCAAAGTATTCAATTAAAAAAAAGAAAGTTGAAATCCTTTGTCCATCAATGCAGGCTGGCATTTTATGCTAACCCGAATTTACTATAAAAGCCAGTGAGATCTGACTTGAGAAACATAACCAGCTTTGTATAAGATTTCAGTGCAAGCAGCGATTGGATAATTTTTCAAGCTATTCTTATTTAGTAATCTCAGTTCGACAGCATCTTTCCGAGCATTTATCATAACTTCAGAATATAAAGTTTAATTTTTCAACCCACAAAAATTAATAAAATGGCAAACACTTCAAAAGTACAATACAAAAGTTTGAATAATAAAAAGGACAACTTCCGCAGCAACTTCAAAAAAATAATGGAGGAAAAGACGAAAATTGAAAACATTTTCAAGGAGATAGAAGAAAAAAATAAAAAAAATTGTGAAATTAAATCCAAAATAAAACGTTTGTTGAGAGGAGATTTAAGAGAATTCAATAATGATGTTGGCAACACAGCAACAAATTCAACAGAATCAACAACTACACCTGTTAAAGCAGCTACAAATGTCGCTCAGACACCAGGAAGAATGTCCTATTCAACAATATACTGGAACCAAAAAAATAAAGTCCGACGAACACACAGAGCAGCAAATTACACAAAAGCAAATGCAATCAGTGGAGCCACTGAAGCAACGATCACATACAAAACGAAAACATCAACAAGACCAAAAACCAGCATAAACTACTCAACATCTATGAATGGTAACAAATCAACATCATCGATCATATACAGCAAGGCAACCACACAAATTAACTCAAAAACCGGAAAAGATCAAGAACCAACAAGGATATCATTTTCATATTTGCATAGAAATCGCCCAAATCACACGGTCGCACCAACAACTTCAACAATTAGAGCAACTAGACCAACAAGCACGAACAATACAAAAACGTCAACAGATGGAATCAAACCAACGTCCAAAACAACAAATATTAGCCATTCATCTCATTCAATATCTCAAAAAGCAGGAAAAGCTCAGGAGCCGATACGGAAATCGTTTTCGTTTATGCATAGAAACCGCACGAATGAATTAAAAAAGACACTCAGTACAACAAACCACACAAACGCCCCAACAACATCAACAAAAGCAATCGGAGGAGCTGCCAAACCAACAAACACAACAAAAACATTGAAAACGCATGCAAATGAACCAGCGTCATCAAAATCATCAAACATCAGCCACAAAACATCGCAAGTAACAGAAAAATCTGAGAAACCAACACGGATGTCGTACTCATACATGTTTAGACACGGCACAACAAAAGTACCAACAATATCAACAAAAGCAATCATAGGAGCCACAAAACCAACAAACACAGAACAAATAAAAATATCAACTAATACATACAACTCAACATCAACAAACACAAACAGACCAACAACAACAAACATAAGCCAAAAAACATCTATAGACACAAACAATACAACATCAACAAATATTTATAGAACCCCAGGTGAAAATTCAAAGCAGACAAAGGTGGATGTAAAAGACTCCAGTGAGAAAGGGGAAATAGAAAGAGCAAAAAGAAGATTGACTTTTGAACTGAAAAACCCCAGGCCAGATGCCAATGTCCACACATCACCAACAGAAAAGACATCATCTGAAACGAACACAACCACACAAAACCTTAATGATGGCCTTCCAAACAGCAACAATACTGAAGATCAAATGCCATCTAGGACTGCGAGAGCTTCAACAAACAAAAACAGCACTTCAACATTTAGTGAAACAAATACAACACCAATAAAATCTGCGTATACAAACAGCACAACGACGATCATTGAGCAATTTCAATCATCGTCAACAAGTCCATCATCAAGTTTTACGCTGACACCAAGAATCCTGACAAAGAAAGGAAAAAATTCGGAAATAATAATGGATGGACTACAAAACTTTTCGAGTATCAATTATTTAATTCTTTCGACAGCAATTAAAAAGAGAAGACTCACTCAGAAGAAAAAAAAGTCAGTTCCACTTTTAAGGAAGCTTCAGCTGCAAGCAACGTTGAAGGTCCTGCACAGTTGGAACAAACAATAGTCAAACGCCCGCCGAATCTTTGTCATCAATCCAAACTCAACATGCACATATTGTACATGTTGTATATAGTGTACATATTGTTTATACTGTAAATACTGTATATATTGAAAAAAATTAAAAAAAAGATTAAAATACATGAATGATAAAAAATTTAAATAACTGTAATTGTATATAGTGTACATACTGTATATATTGTGCGTACTGTATATATTAGAAAAAAAATTATAAACGAAAAAAAAAATTATAAATAAATAATCGATAAAAAATTTTAATAACATTAAAAATTCTAAAAAAGTATTTTCATGTAAATATGTAAACATCATTATTCATTTCGATCCTTTTTTTAATCATTTATGTCTGGGATGACAGGGGTGAGCAAGCTAGGGCCAACAAATCTATTTTATGCGGCCCGCGAGAACTTGTTCGCCAAAAAAAGGTCGTTAGCCAGACATTATGACCAAAAAAGGAGCCACAAATCTTAAAAATTCTCCCCCGGGTCGAAAAGGTTTGCTATTTATGTACATATTCGGCCCTTCAAAGATGAGATAGTTCTCAATGCGGCCCTCACAGCAAATAGTTTCCCAACCCCTGCTTTATTACGTCTGTTAAATAGTTATAGCTTGTAGTTTGATTTGTATAAATAAATGATAATAAATAAATAGTTGTCGTTAATAACAGATCTAGTAAAGTAAAATGACTAACAATAAATATTTCTCGCAAGTTTAATTTTCAATCTGTTCGAATTCTGATTCCAATGATAATTCCAATTTGCTAGACGATAATCGCAATATAAAACAGTATAAAACTTAAGTCGGTAAATATGATTCTCGAAGAAATATAATAAGGCATAATTTGAATGTGATAAAAACAATGTAGAGAATTTAAAAACAAAATCAAGATTCTTTCAGATATATACTTAAAAAATTTCAAAACTTATACATTTATTCCATTACATACAGTCCTATGCATGTTCTGGTGGCCAATGGTTAAAAAAACAGCTTATTAATGTTTGTTATATATGTGTAAACAATAAATTCATTCATTAATCATAAATTTGCCCAAGAAATATAGCTAAATACAAAAAAGTACTATTAAAACAACCAAGTACCGTTCCACGACAGATTGTACCAAATACGTATGTAAGTTTCAAAAACTAAAGTAAGAGAAATTTATTATGAAATAATTTTGCCATCTCAATGGAGAAAAAAGAATGGAAAGGAGGTACCTGACTTAACCATCGCCGTAACCATCTGATATTGTCCTTCTACCTAAACATTTTCTGCTGCTTTTAGCTGTCATGAAATATTTTTAGCAAAATTTGAAAGCCTAGTTGACAAAACAATCAAAGAAAAACAACACAGGACATTGTTAACATAAACATTTAGTAAAAGGAAGTTACAAAATACTTTGGTCCGATTCATCTGTCAATCTTAACAAGCCTTCCATTTAAAAGCCGTTAAAATCTAACTTCTTGACAACTGATAAACTCCATGTTATCTACTTTGTATCTTTTAACTTTATTAAAATTAACATTTTTAACAAAGTTAATTATAATAAATGAAAGTGCCAGAGTAAATATACAAAGTTGTTATTTTTATTATAATTAACTTTGTTGTTATTATTATTATCTTTTGGTTAAAACATAAAATATAGTAACTTTCCTATAAAAATTTAATTAATTTTTTATTAAAATTTATATAAACATTTAACTGATACATTCATAAATAAACGGTTTCAATAAAATGATTAATTAACCGTTAGTTGTCTTTGTTAACAATCACTTTAATATGTGATATTCAGCGCATCGATTGAAAATCCCAAATGAATTTTACAAAGCAATAAATTAACACCACTTTGATTATCCAAATTCCAACATTCCAATGTGTTCAATTAACAAATAAGTTGTAATCCTTTGTCCATCTGCTAACATGAATTTATTATATAAGTGAGAGACCTGACTTGAGGAAACATAAACAGCTTTCGTGTGTGGTTAGCGCTATTAACAATCGAATAATCTTTTGCAAAATTTCTTATTCAGTAATTTTTTTCATTCATCAGTCTACGATAACTACTAAAATGGCAGGAAATACGAAAGAACTTACAAATCGTTTAGAAAAATTCGAGGGTTGTGAAGAATTTTGTTCTAATATCACAAAGGAAGAAATGGAGGACAGTTTCTGCAGCAACGTCCGTAAAATATTGCGGGACATGAAGACGATTGAAAACCTTTTCAACGAAATAGAAGAAAAGAGAAAACAAAATGAAGAAATAAAATCAGAAATAAAACGTTGGCTGAGCGAAGATCAAACAGAATTTGCCAGCGATGTCGGCAACGCAGGCATCACTTCTAATGCAACAAAAACAAAATTTGGAGAATATACAAAAACAGGACAAGAAAACAACAAAATTGGAGAAAATGAGGACAGTTTCTGTTGCAGTGTACGGCAGATATTAAAAGACAAGAAGACGATTGAAAACCTTTTCAACGAAATAGAAGAAAAGAGAAAACAAAATGAAGAAATAAAATCAGAAATAAAACGTTTGATAAATGATGGATCCACTGGCGATGTTAGCAATATAGTCGACATTTCTGCTACACTGAATTCAACAGACGCAACAACTACTTATATAAAAAGAAACCCGACAGAAGCTCACACAACGACAAACAAAATTTTTTCATCAACAAACAAAACAATAACATCAGGAAATTTGAGGAGAAAAATAATATTAGCAAACATAAACAACGCAAGATCTAAAAACACAATCAACGAAACAACAAAGTTAGCATCAACGAACATAAAGAATACATCATCAACAAACAAAACTACAACAACATCAGCCAGCAGCAAAGGCGCAGCATTTAGAAATTCACACGAAACAAGTTTTAATGTGAAGTGTTTATCTGAACCAAGAAAGAGAAGAATAAGGAGAAGATTGACTTTTGAAACAATGGTCCCTTCACCTGGCTTGACTCCAGCAAAAGAATTCTTGGTAAAGGAAGAAACAGAAATTAATTTAGACTCTACGCCAATTAGAGAAAATACAAGAAGTGCTCAAACAGCAAAAATATCATTTTCATCTATATATAGAAATCGAACAAACCAATTACAAAGAATGCACAGGACAACAAATCATACAAACACATCAACAACGTTAACCAATGCAATCAGTGGAGCCACTAAACCAACAAACTCGAAGCAAACAAAATCATCAACCAAGACAAACAGACCAACAACAAAATCAACAAAAATAAACCACACAACATCTACAATAAATCATACAAACACATCAACAACGTTAACCAAGGCAATCAGTGGAGCCACTAAACCAACAAACTCGAGGCAAACAAAAACATCAACCAATACAAACAAACCAATAACCAAATCAACAAACATAAACCATACAACATCTACAAATACAAACCAAGTCACATCATCAAAGTTATGCAACACTACAGCCACACAATTAAAAGAAAGGAGCCGATACGGAAATCTTTCTCAAACATGCATAAAGTCCGCCCAACCCACACGCAGTCGCACCAACAGTATTAACAAAAGCATTTCGCACCAACAATATTAACAAAAGCATTGAGGAGAAAAATAATGTTAACAAACATAAGCAGTGCATGATCTAAAGCAGGGGTGGGTAAACATTTTACTGTGAGGGCCACATTAAGAACTATTTTACCTTTGAAGGAGCGCATATGTACTTATATGTAATTCTTATAAATTCTTTTAAAAAATTTTGGCTCCTTTTTTGATCATAATGTCTGGCTGACGACCTTTTTTTAATTTGCTTTAATTTAATTTTTAATTTAATTTGCGGGCCGTAGTTTGCCCACTCTTGTTCTAAAGATACAAACAACGGTACAACAATATTAACATCAATCAACACAAAAGAACACATCACTACAAAGAAAACCACAGCATCATCAACAAAGATCAACAGTGCAAGATTCAAAAAATAGAAAATTTACATCACTATTGTTGTATTGAAAAGTGCACCCGAATTCGACTTTTGTGCAAATTTTAAAAACAAACGAAATAAAATTAAAGATAAAAATTATCATCAAATATTTGTTACTGACATGAGTGACGGTGGCGATAGTGAAAAAATACAAGTTCGTTGGATAAAAATTAATGTTATTGGGATTCCAATTAATTGATTTTATGTTTAATAATCTTTTGATCTCTTTTTTAATAAAATTAATATTAAACTTTTTAAAAAAATTTTAATTTAATTATTTAATTTAAATAACTATGGTATATGACTATGTATATTATATTTTATTAATATTTAATATTATTTAAAATTAATGTTATTTTACTTTTTTTATATAAAAATAGAATAATGAATGATGATTAAAATTAAAAGACATTTTTCAAACATTATTATTTTTGTTCTTGTCCATGTCTAACTAAAAATTAAAATTCCACTGATCAATATATTTTCTACTCGAACAGCGATTGAAAGCTGCAATATATTATACAACCTCAGAAATCTGCACTGTTCTTGGAAGCAAGGCGGATATAACAATCAATAACAAATTTGTGGCAGCTCTCACTGAGACTACTGTCAGATACTTAGAATGCCTTGGCAGGGATTTAGAACTGTTTGCAAGGTCATCCATATTTTCTTCTATTTTTTAATCTCAGATGTTTTCCATTAAAACAGTCCACTAGGCCATACATATAATAAATTATCTTCCACAAATCAGTTTATGTATAAAACTACAAAATGCAATATTTTTATTAAGTTGCTTGTTGGCCTGCATTAAACTAAGGCACAATGATGTAATTGTCAAGGTGCCTGACAGATCTAAACGTAAAGATACTTCTGACAAGTGTGATGCATTGATTCACTTGTATTTACACATACATGTGTTTATGGCTGATGCCTCTTGAAAAATACTAAGGGTAGAGGGGGATTGTAAATAAAAATCATTTTTCTCCTAATTATTAGTGAAACAAGCTTTTTATTTTTTTGGTTGATATTTAAGGCATGCTAAACGAACCCAAATCAGTGTCGATGATGTCTTGTTGACAGCCAGAAAATCACAAGAATTGGTTATTACAAAATTTTTATTTTCCTCTATAAATCATTTATTCTGCTTTCAAATATTGTAAAAAAATCAATCTAAAAGAAATGTAAAAAAGAAAAAAAATTAAAGTAACCAAAATGTGAATTCTGGATTGAAATTTATGTGTAAATGTTTATACACATTTGTGTGTGTGTGGTACGTGAGACAAAGAGTGGTACACTAAAGATACTTTAGAAGATTAAAACACACAGGTTGTGTTTAGGCAGGTGGAGTAAATTTAAAAAGCTGGGATAGTACTTAGTATGGGTGGAAAATGTTGAAACTCTGTTGGGGTATGTAGGCTATGAACTCAACTGCATGAGATAATATGTATAATTTATGTATGCAAAGAAGCGTGCACATGTGGAATTGTGTGCAAATCATTTTTTGAAGAACTAAAATTGTTAATTTTCCAGCATTAACAAGTAAAAGTAAATAATGTTCAAATTTAAAACAGAAAATTGATATTTCAATGCAAATATTTCCTGGTTATATAGCTATGGCAAAAACAAAGAATATGTATAACTGAATACAATAAGCCTCAACAAATGAAATGACTTCTAATAGCAACACTTCAATAACCACCATTAATATCAGTCATTCAATGTTTGTCACAAATAAAGGAATAATCAAGAGCTTTTGAATTTTCTGTTGACATGCATTTAAAAAAATTTGATAAAATGACACAATGTTAATCAATCTGAATACAAATTTATGAATACGATGTATGTTACGTTAATCATTTCACCTTCCAATCACGCCAGCAAACATTCCTAAGAACAAAAGTTGACCAACGGCTGGCCCTCAAGGAGCAAGAATGTGTGAAGAAAAAAGAGAAGAGAAGAGTAAACGTGAAGCCAAACATCACCAGCGCTAACAATCAGGATGAAGAATTAATCATCGTCGGTGACGAAAATGATGATTATTTACAGACAGCCAGCTAGTGGATGACATTTGCTAACTATCTAACAATTATTGATGCTAACTTTGTCAGCTTGTTACATGTGAACAATGCTCATAAAACTTGCTTATTTTAAAATGAAACAAAACTAATAAAAATCCTTAATTTAATAACATAACAAATTGTTAGAAAACACTTAACGTAAGGATGTTAAAAACAGTCATCGTTAAAAAACTGGTCCAATAAGCCAGCCAACTCAGCAGCGCCAAGTTCTCGAAGAAATTTTGATCAGCAATTACTTCAACCCTATGATATATATTGTGTGAATGTTATTAATGTTATGCCAGTGCACATATACACGTATTGTAAACATATATATATAATGCATAATATACCACGGTGGAACTTCCAGATAAATCTGCGTATGAAATTTTATCGATGACGCTGACTGTAATGTTATTTAAATTGAACATTATTCTATTTACAAGTGAAAATTCTAAAGATTATGTTCCTTCAATTTTTTTGCATAGATCACACTAGCAATCAAAAAACTTCTTTAAACAGAAAGTTTGAATAAATGATAAATAACATACATACCACTCTGACAGTTTGAAGTAACTATGTATTTACAATAACAAAAATGGCATTTTTTTCTATTTTTCTTTTTCTTGGAGAATTAAAATGCCACAAAAATATTTACGTAAATTCTACATATTCGCCGCTTCTCTATATCACATTACTGTACAGACTAAAATAATGTACATCAATCAATTTAACGAACCAAAAATTACAAATATCAATTTATATATATGCACACACAAAATTACGAAACAACTGGACTAACATGTCACACAATTAAAAAGCTCTATCTGATTTTTCACATTCACACGCACACAAACAGGCACACATTGATGCGAATCTGTCATTAAGTACATTTAAACGCACCAAAGCTTCAAAACACCAAACAAAAAAGAATTCCCATTTATTACCTAACATATAGCTAAGTTAAATATTCCAGCTGATTCATCTGCAAGCAACAAAAAAGTGACCAAACACATGGAAGCATGTATGATTACGTAAACATACACAAAAAAACATACAAGAATGCATTTCCACAAGAAACCATGCATATGTATAAAAGCATACAAATGCATATGTACTGGTGCATGCACATATTAGTATACAAATTCAGCACATCGTGTTCTCATGTTTAGCCAAGTTCAGAGTCGCTGGAGTTGCTAGAAGATGGAGAAGTGTCACTGTCTGATGTGTCACTGCTTGAACTGCTGTCACTCAGTCGAGATGCTGTGCTGGCTTGCTTTGTATCTGTATAACGAATGATTGTTACAAATAATTCATTGCTCAGGTTTTCCAGTGCAGTATAGCAACATTAAAGCACAATCGATTATAAATTATTGTTAAAGCTTAACTGCTACATCTATAACATAGCAGCCAGTTTGAAATGAGGTCATTAAGATGAACAGTGAAAGTTTGAAATAAAACAAAGAATAAAATAAAAGGTCGGTTAAGATAAAACGAACCTTTTTTTGGGTGAGATTTTTTGCTTTGACCAGCGGCAAGGACACCCGAAACATCCTCCAATCGTTTCTCAAGCTCTTCCTTCTTTACAAACGACGTCTGTGATTTGACTTGCGATTGCTTAGCTGAAAATTTTTGATTAATGCCTAAAAATTCATTTTTTGTATAATTTTATTGAGCCGTCATGTAATTGATTTCCTCCTTATCTAGACTAAAATGGCCACAGGTTAAATTCAACATCCTAGAGGAAAAAATAAATAAAAAACTAACTATATGGCTTTCTAGGTTTTTTCTTTAAACAGGAAGCAACATATGTTTCAAGTTCTCTTAATGTTGATGGCTTTAGCTGTTCTATATCAATTTCAATCTCATCAGGATTGGAATCTTTCAAATTAGGCTCCCTTGCTTGAATTATTAAGACAATTCTACCAAGTTTGTCACCTGGAAGTTTATTGATGTCTAAACTAAGCTGTCGTTTCTCATCATAAGTCATCGGTCGAACGTCTTCTTCTTCATCACTTTCGAATGAAGCCATGGAAAGAGGAGCAAGCTTACTGGTTGGTTTTCTACCGGGTTTTGATGTAGACGTGCATGGAGCTCGTTTGGTTGAAGATTTTGGTCGACCAGGACCAGGATTGGTTCTTGGTGGTATTGAATTAGGCACATGTGGAGATGGTAATGTTGGTGAAGCTAGAGTGGCCTGCAAATGTGGCTGTGCGTAATTATTGGCGATAGGTGGTGATCGGAGAGGATTTTGAAGAGGTGTGGTTGTTTGAGGGCGAGCAGGTATTTGCGACCTCTGTGGCTGCATTGGTAGATGTTGCAAGTGATTAGGATGTGTTTGCTGCTGCTGTTGAGAGAATGACTGACTGTATTGAGGCTTTTTGTGCTTTTTCTCTTTTTTATGTTTTGACTTTGACTCAGACAACTTGCCTAATTGCTCTTGGACTATTTTCAACTGAAATCGATAGAAAAATAGGCATCATCAATAAAAACAAGAAACAATTGTCAATTTCAATCTATCATCGAGAAAATTCAATAAAAAATTACCAATAAGAAATCCATCTATTTCTATAATTACGTGTTATTAAAAACCTGTTCCTGAAGCTCTCGCAATCTTCGTTCTCTTGCCTCTTCACTGTCATCTTCTTCATCATTTTCCTCATCACTACTGCTTTTGGAAGAATTATTGTTGCTGGCCTCATAGTAATCATTGGAGTCGTTGTGATAGTAGGTGTTATGTGGGCGAGGGCCATCTTCTGGAACATGTGCAAAATGCAGCTCAAAGGCATCCTGCATTATACATATTTTCAGTTCTATATGCACATACATTTTTTTTATCATAACCATTGACCAAAAATAAGAACCCAAATACAAATCTGAAAATAAATATAAACATAAATATGAACATGAATACTAATATATAGATGAGTAACGAAAGTGCAACCTGAAGCTTTCTGGCCATCTTGACGACATCACTCTCAGTATCATTGTACTTATAACAGTTTGTGAAGACCGTTCTCACATCCTCTGCAAATTCTGAAGCAGTCCTGTAGCATCTACCATCAAGCTTTGTCTATGGTTGAGTAAATAATATAAGCTATTATAAATAAACAAGTGAATAAATATATATATAAATATATATATATATGTGTGTGTGTGTGTGTAACATGTTTATTTAAATTGAAATCTTTTTATATCATTCATTTGTGAATGAACAAAAAATTCAAACATACAAAAATAAAAGCAACCTAAAAAATATTTGGAGTGGAAATAAAAATGTCTACGGAAAAAACACACAAATTGTCAAAAAATTATAAAGATTCTAAATTAAATAAAAAATTTATTTCTGAAAAATATCTAAGAAACAAAGTTCTGAATCAAATATTGTAAGATAACTGCAATATGAGACCTTAACGGTACCAAGATCCATTGGTCTCTTGACAATTTCATGGTAATCTTTCAAACCTAACAACTCAGCATCAACTGGCTTTAGAAATGGCCACGAATAATCCTGTTGAATTTAAAATAAAAAAATCTATATCATTTTCAATCAATCAGTGAAGTTATACAGCACTACTTTTCAATAAGTACAGCGGTGCTTTACAACATTTCCACATCCATATGCAAACATTAAAACAAGCACTGCTGGGTATTTATCAGGACCAAATAAAGTGTAAATACAAGACTACAGCTCTAAATACTGTATTATTATACTGTCAATAAGTTCTAACATCAAAACATATATAAACCCCTCATAGCAAAATGTATAAATTAATATACGATTCAACAAGTTCAAAATTATAAATAATGAAAAAACTTATTTACAGCATGTTTCTTAGATAGCAGTTCCTTCAAGACAGTGCCACAGAACTTGAGAGACTCTGACAGTGGATCTTTTCTGATTTTTGAACTATGCTGCAACTGATCATCATCGAGATCTTTCTTTGGTTTTTTTACTGGCCTACTACTCTCCCTCCGACTGTTGATGGAGCCAGGCATGGCAGTGAGTGACGAGAAACTACTGTTGTGTAATAGGTCACTGGCCCTAGGACTGGTGTTACTGATGCATTTGAATGAGCTGGATGATGTGGGGAGAGCTGGTGGGTGGGGAGTAGTTGTATCGGCTTTTCGCTTTACACCTTTTTTGCTTTGCTACAAAAATAAAAATTTGATTGTCAAAATGAATTGATTTATGCAATAAGACACACCTTAATGAAATGACAACTAATATATTACTTTTGAAGAATTTGCTGCTGTGCTGGTGCTATTTCGTTTGATGTTTGTGTTATTTTCATTAGTAACAACTTCCTCTTTCACAACATTATGTTGTACTGGTGGAATAGGTGTATTGGGTGGAGTTGTGACAGTCCCACACCTACGTTCTAGAACCATTTTGTTTCTCAGGGGAAGAGGTGATGTGTATCTCATATTTTTTATTTTCTTAGAAACATGGCATTCAACTTCCTGCATGTGATCATATTTGCCATTCAGCAATCTATATTTTAACCTCAAATAAGATGGAACAGAATCGCCATTACCATAACTGCTTTTACAAATCTTTAAAGCAACATTCCATGAACAGCAAACATCAAAACAACTGCCACACATACCTCCTTGGGCATGCCAGCCAACAGCTGCAAAAATTTTTTCTCCAGCTCTTGGCACATAACAGTTATATCCTGAAGAGATCATATACATTTAATAAAAATTATTTAATCTGATTGCACGAAATCATAAAATGACAGCAGTGGAAAACTATTCCCAACCTCTCCTGGTTTGTTATAAGTGTAGCAGTTGGTGAACATCTGATTAAAATCACAAATGCAGTGCTGAGCATCCTGATAGTAACATGCTTGCAACCTCTTCTTTATCGTTCCAAGATCCATTGGGTTATGTATTATACTATAGTAATCCTGTTACAATGAGTTAAAAATTTTATGATCGATCAGTTATTTTTTGAGACTCAAAACATATTGTTTCATTAACATTAATAAAACATATTGTTTCATTAACATTAAAAACAATAGACATTGCCAAGTTGTTTGTTAATTTTTTAAAGAAGATGAAAAGACCATTGGAAACAAATTTACCAATGCTAACAAAAAACAATTTGGGATGAAAATGACAACCACGCTCTAACAATAAAAACTTACAGGCAGATTGAGTTTCACTGCATCAACTGGTTTATAAAAAGGCCAAGCAAACTGATGTTTCCAAAGTGTTTTTATAACAACATTTTTTAAAAATTGAAGCTGGTTAGTCATTCTTCCCTTTTTTCTGCTCGGAGATTTTTGAGAAGACAGCTAGAAATTTAATTTTGCATATATGTTAATGATGAATTTTTAAAATACATAGAAAATTTAAATTTAAAATTATATCTGTTGATTATTCTAAACAAAAATCAAATTATTAGGCACTTGAGAAACAGATTTTCTAATTTAAAATAAAAAGAAATAACTATTCATTCCAATACATATAGATTTTGACATACATAATTAATAAAATATTTATATTTCCACCCTTTGCACACCACACTAAGTGTGAACAAGTCTTATTTGAAAATGATCTGAATTAAAACTTACAGCATTAGTGCTGTTAGGTGATGTCGACACAGCACACCTTGAATTATCCACATTTGGAGACGACAATGGATCAACCGAACTTTCATCATCATTTAACTCACTAGACGATTTCAAATCATCATCTTGTTGATCATAATCCCTATCAAATTTTTCTTTAGACATCTGTCATTTAAAATCACATGAAGTTTGGTCGGTCACTTTTATAACAGCTCAAGAAATATGTACAAGTCAATTTTTTAATATTAAAAAAAATTAATTAAATCAACTAAATTACTAACTAATTGATTTTGAAAAACACTGTCAAAAACCAAATGTAGTTTAAATATGCAAGATATTAAAACTAATTGTTAAATTAAAATCTGAAATATCAAATGATAATGATGTCATATTTCATTTGATACCTACATTTCTACTATTATCATCCGTCCCGGCTTTTGATGAGTCGTTTTTCAACAACTGCTGGCTTAGAGACAGATTTTCAAAATTTTGTTCGGAATCAGACAAGTTGCCATTCACGATATTTCCATGTTTTGTATTTGCGTCATTAATCCCGTCATTCTGTGATTCAATGACTTTGCTGTTTACATCATTCTCCCCGTTGCTTTTAAACGCAACAAAAATAACGTAGAGAACGTATAGTAAAACTTTCAAAAATTATTATAACATTCAAACAAAAAAAATCGATGTAAAAATTGTACAAAAATTGCATGGGGCGGGAGCATTTAGCAACAATGGCGTCCAATGACGGAGGAAATTTTTGTTTGTGAAAATGATGAAAATAGGAAGAATTTATTCCAAAATACAAAAAGAAAACCTTTCTTTAATGTTTTCTTCAGCATTTGGAATATCCGAATTTAATGGATGGTTTTGTGTCTCCATGATATAGACAGAAATGAATTACGGAGAAGAGCAAACTACACAGGACATATCTTCAATGGAGAAAGCGACGCGGCCTTTTATACCCACGTTTAAACAAACTGCAAAATGATTGGCTGGAAACCATCACGTGACATCGAGCTTTCTCATTTCCATCAAAATCATCGTAATCAGCTAGAAAATTTTCAGATTTTAATCCATTTATTGAGATTTCAAGTGACTTACAAATTATTACAACTTCGACATCTTCGAAAAAGAGAATGTAAACAACATTTTAATCGGCAGTACCATCCAAACTTACAAGCTTATTTAATGTTTACAGCAGTGTTACAACACGTCACAGGCCAACTCGCATCTCATTGGTTAACGCATGCCACGTGACCTTCAGCTGTGCATTTGTTTAATTATGTAATATATGTTTGGGCGAATTCACAAAAATTATAATTTCTTATATATTTTTTTATCTACTGATGTGTTTGTATGGATACATAATATATATATATATATATATATATATATATATATATTATAATATATATTCTTATATATTTTTATACATACTGATGTGTTTGTATTGATACATAATATATATATATATATATATATATATATATTTCGGAATATATATATTTCGGAACGAGGTTTTCTTTAATACAAACATCGTTGAAGATATATGCCCATTTTGCATTAATGACTTTCTTTAATGAACGCTCAACAAGTCTGATACTGTTGAGTGGCACAGGATTCTTTCTCTCGCGCTTGGTCAAGTTGTTGCTGGAGGAGGTGAATATGTCCTGTGTGTGGTATACCTCGGGGCAAATTTCTAATATATTTCGGAACGAGGTTTTCTTTAATACTGTTGAGTGGCACAGGATTCTTTCTCTCGCGCTTGGTCAAGTTGTTGCTGAAGAAGGTGAATATGTCCTGTGTATGTCCAGACTTGTTGAGCGTTCATTAAAGAAAGTCATTAATGCAAAATGGGCATATATCTTCAACGATGTTTATATATATATATATATATATATATATATATATATATATATATATATATTATGTACATATGTTATAATTTTTATATATAATATACTTAATAAGTATTCGAATATAGTCAATATAAATTCTATCGTATACATTCAAACGTTATGTATACATTAAGTGTAAAGAATCATATAATTAGAATAAAGAATAGACGTATCATCCGTAACTTATTTACAGTGCGTGTACTTGGTAAAATGTAGCGCATAACATGTTACGCGCTACACTTGTAGTTGTTCTACCTGAAAATTTTATGACTAACTTGTTTCATGTGCACGGTGAATAACATTGGGATTGTAACAGCACGCAAAGTCATCTGCTTCATCATTCATTTATGTATGGAAATTAAAGATTCATTTCGGTTCAAAGGTATTATAACCAGTTAGAACATTGGAGTTATTTCCATAGATATAGAAATATATTCTATACATCTATGGTCAACTCAAGACATAATCCTGTCTATCGATTGTCTAAGTTATGTAGTAAAAGAACTTTTGCATATATTTAATTGGTGTTTTAGCTGCTGATACATTCGTGACATTTTTTAATTGCTCTTGGTAACAAAATCACGTGTGGTTGCTTGTGCTCGTGAAATTTTTTTGTGAAAAAATATATATTCACACTAGCTAAAGCTGAAAGTGCATTTCTGTGTGTTAGTCTCTATTCTTTATTTCAAACTGCCTAACATTTCCTTTTTTAGACTCTGATCAAAGTGAATGTTTGAAATATTACTCCATCTACAAAAAGTATGACTAAATTTGCGTTATAGAATTTTTTTCAACTATTAACTACCAGCTGAAATAAAAGAAATATTGACGTCCCGAATTAATCAAATGTTTTACAGGGAGTTTCCTATAGTATATGAACATTGAACATTTATCATGAATGCATGTTATAAATATATAAAACACAAAGGCTTTAAAATCAATGCTGAGTTCAAGTACCATAGCTCAACTTTTAGGCTGATGTTACATGTAATAAAACGTCGAAAATCATTAACATGGGAACATATTTAACTAGTGCTGGCATTACTCTTCCATTCTTTAAAAGTTGTAACAGAATTGATGCTTGGGCACCGTTATAACATAATGAAGTCAGAAAAAGTTAGAGCGAAAAATAACGACGCAACGCTTCCCAGCCAATGTTTTCGCCAAACGGTATAGCTCAATTCCTGCTTGATAATTAATGATCAGTTGACCTCGTTCTTTCCACTTTTCTCATCGTGTTTTGTATCTTCTGGAACCAGCCTTTTTTGTGTTAATGGACGAGTGTCTGGGCCGAAAGATTTAACACATAATATAGATAGATTCATGGATATAACCATATATATCATGGATAGATTATAACTCCTTCATCTATTCTATGAATTATTAGTAAGTGTTGTTGGTATTTATGAAACCACACAACAGAATTTAGTTTTATTATTTAATTTTATAAAATACTTGTTTTATTGATAACAAACTCAATATATAGTAGCAGAACTTTAATTAAAAATATTCCTGTAACGCTTAATTATCTTAAATAGAAAAAGTAGACAAAGGTGCTTTTTTTTCAATTGTTATCCTGATCAACATGAGATTTCTTTTTCTTTTTCCTGTTGCGATAGATGTTTATCGGTGCGGTTTTTTCATCAATAAATTTATATCTTATTTGATCTGCAAAGTTCTCGTTTTTATATTTTTAAAAATTTAATATATTCATTCAGATTTTAGTTGTAATTTTATTTTTAAAAAGATGTTTCACGATTTGACTTGTATAGCATTATATCGCTCATTCTTTATGCGAAAATTTCTTTATTAAATAATATTTTTAAAACGTTCCGGTTCTGTTTAAAATTAAGCTAATAAATTTTTCCGATTACGATTTTCTATAAATGAATTTACAAATTTTTTCCAATCTGTATATTTGCAGTGCAACAACGTTAAGATGGTGCGCATGAATGTTTTAGCAGATGCCCTAAAATCAATATGCAATGCAGAGAAACGAGGCAAGCGACAGGTCTTGATCAGGCCTTGCTCCAAAGTTATCATCAAATTCCTAACAGTGATGATGAAACATGGTTTGTACATTGAAAATTAAATTGTGGTTTAAAGATTGAATTATTCATTACTGAATTACTATTAATTATGCATACATTATATAGTATATAATATATACAAATTAACATAAAATTTATGTCTTAAAATCTGAAAAACTATTAACCTTTGAAATACTGAATTTTTTTAATTGTTTGAATTTGTCACTACTATTTTAATTTGATAAGCTTGTGTTGTTGTAACATGAATGTTCCATACTTCTCATGAATTTGGATTAAAATTGAATATTGTGCTATAAACAATTCTAGTTTTGCTAATAATAATAAGTAATTTTATTAAATGAAATCATTCCCACACAGGTTACATTGGCGAGTTTGAAATAATTGATGACCACAGAGCAGGCAAAATAGTTGTTAACTTAAATGGTCGACTAAACAAAGTTAGTTCATTGTTAATATTTAATTTCTGTTTCATTTTTTTAATGAGCTCTTAATGTTCAAATGCATGCTAATGTTATAAATATACAAATAGCTGAGTGGTGATCTGGGATCTTTTGTTGAAGTTCTTTTGATTGATACGGATGTTATGTAAAATGAGGCAACATTTTAGGGATCTATCCTCAAGAAGGCCTTCAAATGTTTTCTTTAAACTGTAAAGTTTTTACAAAGTAACAATGTTTAACTATGATTTCATTTATTGTTTTTCAGTGTGGTGTGATAAGTCCCAGGTTTGACATAAAAATGAAGGATCTTGAACATTGGACAGCTTATCTTATGCCATCTCGACAGTTTGGGTATGTGTCATCTGTTATAACGCCTGATGATATTTAATTTTTGGTTCTATAACTAGATTAAAATTTTTTAATATATTAAAACAATGTTTTCAATAAATTTTTTCTTCTGAACAGCTATCTGGTAATGACAACATCTGGGGGCATAATGGACCACGAAGAAGCCCGAAGAAAACATTTGGGAGGCAAAATATTGGGATTCTTTTTCTAATTATGTAAAGTGACAATCTGACTGCTGGGGATAAACTGGTCGCATATTTTATCTTGAATAAAGTAGCTGTCAGAATCTTATGTGTGTTTGATTATCCTTCATTTTCATGCACGTCAAAAATAGTTATTTGTGCAGTGTTTTGAGCTGTTTGTTAATTGATCCTTAAATGTTTTTGCCAGGGTAGTTGTATGATCTGAATTTCATTACTGATAGTTATATATGCCAGCGTTTGGGCGATCTCGTGACTGGGTCACAGCGTTTTTAAAACATTTTTATTATAAAAAACCTTCCAAATGTTAGTGGGAGCGCTCTTTCGTTTATTCGAAATAAATTTTGGCGGCAAACTGCGGAGTATGCCTCGGAATACGGTTTCAAATTTAAAATAATGTCGAGCAATAAATTGAATAGAGTTCAAATCTCGATGGTTTAAGTATACTTCAAATTCTGAAAAATTATTGTATTAAAAGTTTCAGTTAACATTTAACTAAACGCCAAAAGTTAACTTAGTATATTTTAATTTGTGGGCCTTGAGTATATCTTAATTTGTTCGCTCGGTCAAACGTGTACGGTTTCAAATTTAAAATAATGTCGAACAATAAAATGAATAGAGTTCAAATCTCGATGATTTATAAGTATACTTCAAGTTCTGAAAAATTAGTGTACTAAAAGTTTCAGTTAACATTTAACCAAACGCCAAAAGTTAACTTACGTCTTAAAAATCGAATTTGTCAAGCATGTTTGTATTGTTTGGTGTAATAAATAACTTCAAGTAAGTAGGTAACAATTGATCCGATTGTTTTTGTTAAAAATCGTACTTATGGGTGATTCGGTGGCGTGCGCTGACATCTTAAAATTTAAAGTTTTGGCTAAATGTTCGCGTTCTCGAGCTAGAGTGGCCGAATTGAGGATTCCTCATGCTGTCTTGCAAACTCCCATCTTCATGCCGGTTGGAACGAAAGGTACTATGAAGGTACATTGCTGCGTATTTATGGTTACATTACATAAATTTGCTATCTCTTATCTCATAATTATTAGTTCTATTCAGTAAAATCTAAGATTCAAGATTGTATTTGTCATCTTGATCACTTTATCTGTTTATTTATCAGTTTATTTATTTGATAAATAAAGATAAAGTTTATCAGGATTAAGATTGGCTGATTAAGATTTAGTTTATCAAATAAAATAAAATAATAAAAATTAAATAAGATATTAAATCATGTTATTAAATTTATTTATGATTTTTAAACTTTTAATATTTAATGTATATGACAATATACTTTAAAAAATTGTAAAACATAAATATTAAACAACATATAGTTATATGTTTTTTATTACTCAGAAATATCAATGTAAATAAATATCAATCAATAGGAAACTTATATAGTGCCCATTAAATGTTCTCAAAAGCGCTATCATAGTTATATAAACATAGAAGTCTACAATACTATTAATAAGAATAAATAAAGAAATATATATATATATATATATATATATATATACATGTATTTATTTGGTTATTGTTTTTAAACATTAATTAAACTTATTTGAAATTCAGAAATTAACTAAACTAAATTTAGAATTTAATTAAATTAAACGTTAAATAAGTTGAAACCTTTTTTTATTGACATCATAAGGGCCTGACTCCGAAACAGTTGGAGCGGTGTGGTTGCAGAATGATGCTAAGCAACTCCTACCACCTGGCTGAAACACCTGTTCGTGCATTCATTTATTATTTGCTACTTTTTACTTTTTAATTATTTCTATTTATACATAATGTCATTATTATATTAATTCTAATTCATAATTTATTATTATAATTTTATAAAATTAAATTACAAGTTTGATTAAACCATGTTAAGAGTTGCAAGTAAATTATTTCCATTCATGGGGGTAGTAGTAGCACTGGTAGTAGTAGTAGTAGTAGTAGTAGTGTTAGTATCTGCAGTAGTGGTAGTAGTAGCAGCATTTGTAGTAATGGTAGTGACTTAATTTTGTAAAGAAAAATCTGTAAATTACATGGTATAATATAAACTTTGTAAATATACCATAAAAATTACATGAAGATGCAAAAATTCAAAATTCAAGAAAAAACCCTGAAAAACATGGTAAAAGATGCAAATACATGAATTTTATAGCATAACACACATACATGTTACACACATATACTACACACACACACACCACACACACACACACACACACACACACACACACACACACACACACACACACACACACACACACGTATACTACACAAACACACACACACATACACACACACACACACTTACATGCACAAACAAACACACAGGGTATGGAGGTTCTGCAGAAAGCTGGTGATCTTCATAATTTCATGAAATGGAATAACGGTTTACTAACGGTCTGTCTTGTGTTTATTTTATATATTTATTAATAAAATCATAAATTTAATTTTTTAAAGTAATTATAAATGTAATTGTATGCTTTTTTTATACAAATAAAAAATGACAAATAAAATGATTGTTTTGTTCTGTCTTCAAAATACTTGAAGTAAATCAAATGATATAGTTTTATATGTTAAAAATTATGAATTGAATGGATGAGACTCAAAATTTGACTCTTGTGATTTAGTGTTTCCTGTAGCTGGGTAAAGTTATTGAAAAGTTATGAATTATTATTTTTTTTTAATTATTCTTAGTTCTCACTCAAAGGTATCAACAAACAAACATGCATACATACAAACAAACATACAAACAAACAAACAAACATACAAACAAACAATCAAACATACAAACAAACAAACATACATACATACAAACATACATACATACAAACATACATACATACAAACAAACAAACATACAAACTAACAAGCAGCACAGATTATAAGTGAATATGTGTGATACCACTCTACACACATTGCATTGGAATGGTTATTAAACATGAAATAAATGATAATCTGAATGGAGTTTTGTATTTAACTTTTCAGGCACTCAGCATTACTACCCTTTCATTACTATAACCGATAATCACAGTACTGAATACTGCGACTTGATTCAAATTTTAAAATTCCTATTCAGGATATCAATCAACCAATCAATCAATCATCAATCAATCATCAATCAACCAATCAATCAACCAATCATTCAATCAATCAACCAACCAATCAATCAATCCATCCTCGTTTATGTCTCCATCCATTTTGGGTCAGACTCCTATTTAGTATACTATAATTTTTAAAAACTCAACTCGTTATTATGTTACATTTTGGCATCTATCCTTTAAAAACAGGACAGCGGGGGGTTCCAGATGGTCTCATTGGCCAAGTTGACGAAACTGGATGAAGATGGTGTGGAGTTTCAATCGCCGTACACAGGTGCCAAGATGACAGTCACTCCAGAATATTCCATGCAAGTGCAAAATACCATTGGTCAGCATTTGTTTGTTGATTTGTATTTTTTTTAATCTTTATATTGCAGCTCTGTCCTGCTTACATGTTATTCTGTACTCTAACTTTATACTGTGTTGGTCAGTGTTTGTAGGCATTGGTAGGTTTTTGTTTGTAATGGTGGTAGGTGTTTGTCCGTAGTGGGTTTTTTGGTGGTTAGTTGTTTGGTTTCATAATTAATTTAAAGAAATATTAAATTGACATTGAAATCAGGCGCAGACATCATGATGCAGTTGGATGATGTCGTTAAGACGACTGGCGAAGATGATAGGATGAAGGATGCGATGTATAGGTCGGTTGGATGGCTGGTTGACTGGCTGGTTATTTGGTTGGATGGTTAGTTGGTTGCTTGGTTGCTTGGTTTCCACAAATGACGTTTGTCAATTTGTGTTATCTCAATTTATTGGCATCTTAGCATTTGATTGATATTTCAACAGGGTTGATTTAAAAATGCTTGAAATTAGGAAATGAGATTATGCTTGGATTCAAAACTAAAACAATTATCAACACATTTAACAGTAGAGATACTCAAACACACGCATACACACACATACATACATACACACATACATACACACACACACTCATTCGGACATGCTTAGAACAATACGTTGGTTGGACCGATGTATAGCTGCCCATAAACGAACTGACCACCAAATACTCTTCCCCATTGTTCAGGGTGGACTGAACTTTGAGTACAGAACCATCTGCGCTGAAGGTACACATCACACACACACGTACACTCACATGTACAACATGCACGTACACAAACATACACACGCAAACATTCACGTACATACACACACGCATACCACACTCATCACTACACACATCCACCATCACGCAGAAATGGTGAAGAGAAACATGCAAGGGTATGCCATAGGGGGGTTAAGTGGTGGCGAGCCGAAAGATCAATTTTGGCCCATCGTCAAACATACGGCCCATCTGCTGCCTTACAATAAACCCAGATACCTCATGGGTGTTGGGTTGGTTGTTCATTGATATCTCCTGTTTGATGACTCATTTGATGACTCATTTGACTTTATAACTCTATATAGCTTTTATAATTTGATATCTCTAAAGTTTCTGTTGACAATGTCGTTTTTATTATTATCTTTTTGTCATTTTTGTATATTCAAAATTATATTAAATTATTTAATTATTAGTTTAATATAATAAGTTATGTGTTAGATTGACAATACGCTATAAGTACAATGCCATAGGCAAGTAGAATGTACTATATAGATAGATGAAGCAGTTGTACTGCTGTTTGAATCAACAGGTTCACATTGGACCTCATCGTATCGGTAGCTCTTGGATGTGATATGTTCGACTGCGTCTTTCCCACAAGAACTGCTGTATGTACATTTTTATCATAGTACTATCAATCTACTCATCTAGTATAATTTTGTAATTTGTTCGTCGTTGTTATAATCATCTGTTAATTTTATTTTCATCATATCATCATCATTATCACTATCATCATCATTATCACTATCATCCTCACTATCATCATCATTATCACTATCATCCTCACTATCATCATCATTATCACTATCATCCTCACTATCATCATCATTATCACTATCATCCTCACTATCATCATCATTATCACTATCATCCTCACTATCATCATCATTATCACTATCATCCTCACTATCATCATCATTATCACTATCATCCTCACTATCATCATCATTATCACTATCATCCTCACTATCATCATCATTATCACTATCATCCTCACTATCATCATCATTATCACTATCATCCTCACTATCATCATCATTATCACTATCATCCTCACTATCATCATCATTATCATTATCATCCTCACTATCATCATCATTATCACTATCATCCTCACTATCATCATCATTATCACCATTATTATTGTCACTATCGTCATCTTAGTTTATCGTTATTATTATTATTATTATTGTTGTTGTTGTTGTGTTATTATCATCATCATCATCATTCATTCATAGTTTACTGTACTTCTTCTAATTTACATTTTTCCACTTTCGTTCGGTGAGAAATAAGATATTTTGCATTTGCACTTGAGTTTGTATCGTTCTATCTTGTATCTCCTGAGGTAGGTTAGGCTGCGTTGGTGGTGGTCTGTAGTCTATGATGGTGATGACGACGACGATGGTGTGGAGCTGCGATGATGATGGCTACTTTATATGTTGGAAATAAGTTTTTAAAAGAATATATAAGAATAAGAAATAAGAATATAAGAAAATAAGAATAAAACAGAAATGCAGATAAAATTAAATTACCCCACAAAACATAACCAAGTGATCACGACCGCCCACCTACACACGCACCCACCTACCCAGAGGTTCGGGATAGCCCTCGTACCTACGGGTCAGTTGAATTTGAAGCACAGCAAATTCAAGAACGACTTCAGAAAGATCGACGATGAGTGCGATTGCCAAACTTGCCAGAACCACACGAGAAGTTACATCCACCATTTCGTCACGCAGCATGCCGTCTTTGCTTCACTCATTACAATACATAACGTCACTCATCATGTTAGTTGTCTGACTGAATGAATGATTGGTTGGTTGGTTGTTGGTTGAATGAATGAATGATTGGTTGGTTGATTGGCTGACGAAATGTTTGATAAATCAATTAATTGATTAATTAACTTACATTTGTGTATCAAATTTTGTTTACACTAAATTTTTACAACATTACGTTTTAAAACCTGCACGAACGCAGATGAAACTGATGGCGAAAGTCCGCGAGAGCATCTTGAAGGATAGGTTCCCGGAATTTGTGGACGGCTACATCAACTCGCAAGTCAAACGATCCAGTACACCAAAGTGGGTCATTGATGCTCTGGCCTCTGTCAACATCAACATCAAAGATCATAAATCAACTGCGGCTGCCAGTGCTGCTGTTGTCGACGATGTTGTCGACGATGTGGCCACTGATGTTGTTGATTTCGGTGGGGGTGGTGATGTTGTTTGTGATGGGGAGAAGTGTGCTGCTGACGGAAACCTCACCACGGCGAATTGTGGTGATAGCGATAGGAAATGAGATGAATGTCCTGTGACATGTGAAGTTACAAAAGGAAGTGCTGAGATGTCATGTGTTCTTACTGGATGTGTAGCTGAAGAAGGGCTTTGGAGTCGCGGGTGTTCTCGTTAAGACATTAGACAATTTATTCATAGATCGTGATTTTAAATGAATCTAACTAGAGCAAAATGGTTGTTGGATGACGAACGTTGGGATGTCACGTTACTTAGGATATATATTTGTGTGCTGTGCTGTACATGCCTTGTTGTGTGTGTGTGAGTATGTGTGTGTGTGTGTATGTGTGTGTGTGTATGTGTGTGTGTGTGTGTGTGTGTGTGTGTGTGTGTGTGTGTGTGTGTGTGTGTGTGATTAGGTCTATTTTTTAGTTTTATATTTCATTTCTAGTAGATTATGTTAACTATTGCAAAGTCTATTTTTGATTAACATCGTTTCGTAAGGTTTGCTCAATGGCGCATTCTACAGTACTTAATAGATTTTGTTATTTGATTTAGTTTTTTATAGTTAAAGAATTTTTTGTTTTTATGGCTCAAGTAATGTATCAAGTTCATCACAAAATGATGAACATTTTGGGTAATTATGAACCGATTATGTTTTTCTGTAGCGTTTGGGTCGAAACCGCCAGATCAAACTTCCATCTGCGTGTGCCTCCTTTATAATTTCTAACATTGCTCATAGGAACGCAAATATAAACACGAACAGATTACTAAAAAACGGAGCGTACAAAAAGCCTAAGACCTTTCTGCGTGAGACTTAAAACATATTATTATTCACTATGTATTGTTACCATCTACCATCTAGTAAAATATTTATTTAAAAAAATGTTACCCTACATGTATTCATTCGTGTATTTAAAAAGCAACCAAAATTCAACTTTTTTTCGTTTAAATAATGTGTCAGTCAATAATACGACATATGAATATATATATATACACATATTAAATAATAATATATACAGTATTGTATGAATTCTACCGAATCGTTGGTATTAAATCAATTTAAAGTTTGTTTTTTCAATTTTCTGTACATCGTTCAAATCGTTGAATTATTATCCAAGTTATTCATGAAAATTTAATGGAACTTTTGTTATCCAAATTCATCATGCAGTTAGGCCTTATTTCGATTTTTCACAAATCATCTTCAGTGCAGTTTTGGTTAATATAGTTTCTTCAAACAAAGCAATGTTCTTTAGCAAAGTTTATTAGTTGGTATCGTATTCTTCATCTTTGTTGTTGTCATTCCTTTGTCCTTCATTGTTATTGAAGTTAGTATTAAGGCGTCGAGTTGGTAATGATGTTATCATTCTTTGCTGGATGTGTACTTGGGGTTTATCGATATCTATAAGGACAGCTTCTGCAATTTTTAGATGTATTGTGTCGGTGTTTTGATAAATTATTTTTGTGTTGTTGTCAAAAATTCGGCGTATTATTGGAGTTGCATGTATTGATTGTAAGTGAGATTTGATGGCTCCTCTTTGTTGTATGCATTGTGAGACGTCTTGATAGTGAAGTAGTAGTAGTGAAATGTGCAGTCGTCAATAGGGCATTTAAATTCATATATTGTGTGCTCGTCAACAACATCCGTATATTGGTGTTCACTATCAAGACGTCTCACAAAGAGGAGCCATCAAAACTCACAATCAACTCATGCAACTTCAATAACCCGCCAAATTCTTACAATTTCCAGAGAATTCAAGTAAGGAAAATTGAAAAAATAAAATTTAGATTGATTAATGCCAACAATTCGGTAGAATTGATACAGTACTGTACAAAATTTGGTCTTCTAACATATATATATGTACATATAATATGGAAGCAACATATAATATATATATATATGTATTATATATTTATTTATAAAGATGGATGAATATATAAATATCGTACTTTATCTTTAATAATATTTATTTACTTTAAAACGGAGGTCGAAAACATGTTATCATCAAAACATCGAAATAACAACAACAACACACGTTTAGACGGCATTTTCCCCGAGATCGGGGGTTGCCGTTTGGCTACCTATGATGAAACCGAAATACCCCTCGACGCCATCCACATCTGTCACTCGCCTCAGTATCACGCAACCCCGCTTTCACCCTGTCCTTCTCCACCTGCTCTCTCCATCCCAATCGCGGACGACCCTTTCCTACCACTCCTTCAACCTCGAACTCCAACGCTCGCCTAATCCCGACCCTTTCATCCCTTCTCAACACATGTCCATACCACCGCAATCTCGATCTCCTTATCAATGTCACAATGTCCTCATTCAGTCCCATCATTGACATCAGCTCTGTACTACTCCTCCTATCCTTCACTTTAACCCCACACATCATCCTCACCATAGCTCTTTCAGCCCTCTGCAGTACACTTTCCTCCTCTCTCCTCAACACCCAAGTTCATCAAAACATCGAAATAATAAATAACAATTATCGTCCTACGATTTACTCTAAGACTACTAGAACTACTACTACAACTATTGCTACTATTATTATCACTTTTATCATCATTATTACTATATCAATATATTTTATCATTATTATCACTATATCAATGATGATGATTGACAATAGACGACGACAATGATTGAAAAATTGATATCACAAAGAGGAAACTAATATTATTATCAACCAAAATTGTCTTCAATCGTTATATTATGTTCATGGATATATATATATATATATATATATATACATATATATAACATGGATGTATATATATATATATGTTATATATATATATATATATTATATCCATATGTTACATAAGGCACGCTTATTGATTTAGAATTCACTGACTGACTAACGAAAAGAATATGAATAAAATCGAAATTTAAAAAAATAAAGAAAAAAATAACCTAAAAAGCGCTACGGAGCTTCATAATTCGATAATTATTATTCATGAAAAATGTGATTTTTATTCGTGAAAATGAGATTGCTTCTCTTATTTGTTCACGTTCAATTTAGTAGAAAGATTTGTATGATGGGGATAAAAAAAGAAGACAAAAACTGAAAAAATTAATGTGTATATCTTGTAACTGTGTGTGTGTGTGTGTGAGAGAGAGAGAGAGAGACTGTGTGTGTGTGTGTGTGAGAAAGAGAGAGAGAGACCGTGTGTGTGTGTGTGTGTGTGTGTGTGTGTGTGTGTGTGTGTGTGTGTAAGAGAGATTGTGTGTGTGTGTGTCTGACTGTATGTGTTTCATGTGACTGTACGTATTTGGGTATATGTGGGTGAGTGCATCGTGTGAAACAAAATGGATTTATAAAAAAGAAGGAAATTTTATTTGCACTTATGACGAATTTATTGCTGCCAATCATCATTATTTATCATCATTGTTATTGTCATCATCAGCGGCAAATTAGCATTATGATGAATGTCAAGCGATACAAATTTTTATTCTAAACAAAAAACCACCACATTCAAGATTATACGTAACCAGGCATTTGCACACACACACACGCACACACAAACATGATGTAGTGAGTAACAACACATTAATGGTAACTTAATGTAACGTTTCATGTAATGTAATTATTGTAATATGACGTAACATAGGGCTGTGTTGTGTAATGCAACTGAATATAACGTGAAGTAGCGTAATTCAGTAATGTACAAAAACGCTTGGAAGAAAATCTGATTCCTGGATTATGAGTGTTTAAAAATGTGCATCACAATCATAGCCGCGCAATTCTCAATTTTTTCCATAATTGACACAAAAACGCGTTAACTAAGAATCTAACAACTGCATTGACGGAATCACTGAAGAGTTTGTCGATCATTGGACACGCAAGAAGAAATGTTAAAAAATTGCAATTCAATCGAGTCGGTTATTAACGATTGAGTGCGTGATGTCAACTGGGACGAAACTAACATTTAGTCGTTTGAATGAGGGAACGCTGGTTGCATATCAGTACCTTCAGCATGTTTAACAATTTTCAAGGTATAAATAATTAATTATCTGATAAGTATATTTATTATTTTGCTGTTCTATCAATTTTTAAAAGTATCATTCAAACGAAATTACTCTCATCTCGAGACGACACAGTGACATGCTAAGAATGATCTCTGTCTACCTTTGTAAATTAATCAATGAACATTTTAATTAATTAATTACCAATGATCATCTTCATATTACGTTGACTGACTGACTGATTGATTGATTGATTGAATGATTCAATAACCGATTGATTGAATAGTGATTGAATAACTGATCGAATGCTGTGTTGAGCCAGCTAAGAAAAGGTACGCATCGAAATACATAGTGGTTTAAAAGTTTATTGATAATAATTTGCAGAAATAATAATAATATAATAAAAAATGATATTATTTTATTTATTTGAAATAACAATTAAATAAACTATATAACCGATTGTTACGATGATAGTACGTAATGGCAAAGGTTGAAATAATTACTATTCATAAAGATAAAATAGCGGCTATAATTACTGTTGAAATAAGGAATAATGGTAATACAAAGATGCAGTAATAATAATAATAATAATAATAATATATTATTCATAATATAATAATAACAAAAACATAATTATTTTTTTAAACTTGCGGTAAAATGTTGCCGTCGTATTAGTAGAAAAACGAAACTGAAACTAGTGAACCCGCACGCACTAACACACACACACACACACACACACACACACACACACACACACACACACACACACACACACACACACACACACACACACACACATACATACCAACAAACACACGCATGCATACATACAAAAACACCATTTATATGTACAATTGTATTAGTTTAAAAATATTAAAAAAATGTGATAATAACAACGACGACATTTTAATTTCATCATCATCATCAATTGCCATCAACACTAACCACATGATGATCATTATCATCATCACCATCATTATCATAAGCTCAGCTGTCCGAATGTCCATTACACAAGTAACATTGTAACTATGAGAAACGAATGACCCAAACAATGTATACGTATATATATATATATATATATATATATACCATGTACATACACATACGTATACATACATATGTAAACATAAATACAAACATACCCGTACATACATATATACGCGTATACACGCACATGTATACAATAATAGGGGTGATATTTAAATAGATAAGAAGCAATTATAAACGAGTGATTTGTATAATATTCCATCCTAAACGAGCTAATAACGTAACTTATAATTTTAATTAAAAGGCACTGCACTTTCATAAAGACATAAACACAAACATGCTAACATACATAAATAAACATATACAAAGAGGGAAAGAACACACATACACACATTCATACAAACACACACAGACAAACACACAATTATGTATTCATGCATATGCACTTAGACAAACATAACGTCACAACATTACACACATATATACAAATATAAACACATATATACAAGCAACAAAGAGAATTGAATTAGTTTTGAATAAATGTAATATGATATGAACGATCGGTTTGCCTGTGTTAAGAGATGCACCGGAGGATAGCGAGA